TTGAAACTTGAATTGTTATTTTGTTAATTAACAGCAAGTTCTAATCATGACGGGAACGGTGCAAAACAGTAAAACAATAATCAGAATATAATTATGTACTTTGCAACAATCAGGACGAGATACCAAAATTCAGTACTTGTATCATGCCAATGACTTTCTACCCTTGAATACACGCGCATGGCCACTCCCCACATCATGTAGGGCTCTCGGAGCACAGATTTCATTGGCGCACTGTGACTCAAGTTCGACTGATGAGGGGTGAATTCCACGAAACACTGTGCATTGAGCCGCTGGGGAAGTGGTGCTTTCTTGCAGGTGGAAGGTTCGATGGACGTCTCGTACATACACTATCGTGTCTGTGACTCTGTGGATGGCAATCGTGACTGAGTCAGTCAAGTGCGAGTCGGCAGGAAAAGCGCGAGCTCCCACGCAGGGAGCGACGCACAATTCCCCAAGTATCGCCGAAGTCGCAACACCTCTTCTTCACATTGTTGTCCCCAGCGCGAGCTTGCGAACTGGCTTGGAAGCAACACCGATCATTTACTTGAAGTACATTCGGTTTTGTACAAGAAATGAGTGAGTAGCTATTCGTTACTTTGTATTCGAACATGTCAAGACTCAGATACAGTACATTGTGGTAGGACTGTCAGCTCACTCTGCGCTAGCACGAACCTGTCAAAAACTTCTCGCGAGGACGACCGCAGGTGCTGACACGTCAACTTGTTGTCAAGACGTGTCGCGTGCTCGTGTTGCACTTCAACTGGTAAGCAGTGCCACAGATTCACTATGCTGTGAGATCACCCTGGCTAAATATAGCCCGACCACACGAGTTGTGCGAGTGGTCCTCGTGTTGATGCTGATGTTCGACTACAATGTACTGATGGTGGTCGGTCGCACGTGAAACAGCTCGGAACCAATTTGAATGACGAGGGAATGAGTTGTCGGTATCCAGTGATGACACATGTCAATGGACGCAGGAATGAGAACTAAAATCACAATGCTCCTGACAAAGACTCATGTAGGGTACTGGTCGAAGCAGTCAGAAGCTGTACTGTGGCTACCCGAGGTGTTCTGAGCTTGCACAAGTCAGCAGCAGCCAAGAGCATAGACCTGCAGTGTACATGTAGTAGACTGCAAGTAATGCAATGCTCGATGCCGCGGCGACATCGTCATAGTTAGGCACTTGCCATCCCGCCTGCTGTGGTCAATACACCCAGTTTCACATGCTACTTTGCAGTAAGGTGCGAACGGTGGACAAAGAGGACGCTTTTCTCCGATCGCTTTGGATGCAGGTCCGGATACTATCGTGCCCTAATATCAAGTGTCCATAAAAATGGTCATGTACTCTTGCTGATATTAAAATAATGTTATTAGCCCGGGAGCACGGGCCTTCATCAACTCGACGGAGACTTGGTGGGCCTGTCGGGGAAACCGCATGGCTGCATGCCTCGTGCGTGGCGCGTGCGATTCCCGATGTTTTCGCCGCACACAATCCACAATTGACTTCAGCTGTTCAAATAATTCTGAGAAGGAGGAAAGAACTTGACATTGTATGTGTGAGCAATGTTATTGACGTGTTTATTCATGTATTGGTGGTGGCTTTCGACAAGCGGCTCACGGGAAGTGTCTACATATCGATTGGCTGGTTTCGTATCATGATCTGCACTCTAGGCTAGCCAGTAGACACTGAAAAAGCTTAAAAATAGCACGGATTACCTCACCACTCTCCAGACCAGGTCTGTGCAATGCACACTATTGGCTGATTGTGATACAAAATGGCGCCTCGCGCGCGACGTGTCTCGATCCAGTTGCTCAGAGTCGGGCTGTTGGTGGACATCGTATGAAAAACAATATGTTCAACGCCTGCGTCATCCACTCCTAAGAGACGCATGTTCCCACGATTACACTTCCTAGCAATAAGCCAATAACCCGTTAACCCATCGATAAACACGTACATGTACTTGTACTACCAACAACACAAACAAAGCATTCGAATAGAATGACAAAGCAATCCGATACTAAACGATTTGGCGATAACGATGGTAAGCAAGTAACTTAGTTAGTTGCTCCCCATGCACCGTCCTTGGAGCTCGCACTGTTCCGCCACGCTTGACCTCAAATTCTAACACCGACTCACGCTACATACTTGTTGTTGGTTTGACAGCATGTAACAAGGTGGAGGGCACCGTGTTCGGAAACAGTGACCTTACTACAACCATCCACGGTTGGTAGAGCCCCGGTCTGTTGAGACCATCTGAACCATATGCGTCTTAGACCAAGGAGCGATCACAGAGTACACGACTGACGTTAGGAGAAGTTTATAAAAAAAAACTCCCCTAGAATAAAGAGGGTTTAATAGAACCGGGTGTCCTATCGATCCGCCACCTTGTTATATACATGCTGTCAACAAACAATATGTTTGAACAAAAACAAGGTTTATCTAATACGCTACATACTGTACCGCGTACGCGTAAATCTGGCACCCTTCTTAGCAAAGCATGCAGCACTGATCCCAGTGCTCAATTCTCTGGCGGAGAAGGGCTGAAGAGCTGAGCCTTATGCAGGCACACATCTCAAATTTTGACCATTTTAATGCCGAAATCATGCTCACAGGGTCGTATTCACAATCTCCGGACATCACACTGTTTCTGCAATGTACACCGCGCCGGTGCTACTTTGTTTGAAGGCCTTTTGCTTCGGACATGGGACATGGGACATGGGAGCAGTAAAAAGCTCTAAATGCAACCTAGTACTCAGACATGCAGCACTGCATGTGTTACCTCAGAACGTCCAACCAAGATCACTGATTCCAACCCAGTCATTCTACAAACCATGTATAAAGGTCGAACTCGGATGGTGCGCCAAAGTAATCATGGATAATACTTAAAAGAAAAGGAGAAGGACAAAATGGTACGAGTTATGGCTAACTGTCCACCAACGTAACCAGATCGTACACACTATACAGTCAGCGAGTTGTCTCAGTACTCCCTGTCAGGTGTGTGCCTTCTTGTTGCACTCGCTGACAGTATATGATCTGGTTACGTTGGTGGACAGTTAGTCATAACTCATACCATTTTGTCCTTCTCCTTTTTTTATCCATGTACATGTACAAAGGAAAGGTTTTCTTCCCACACTGGAGCTCGTGCTATTCCGCCGACTTGACTTGACACTTGATTGACTCACGACAACAACAAAGGTATTATCGGTTTTCCTGAACAATACAGTGGCTTTCTCTCGATGTTTATCTTTTGGACACTGAACGCGCAAGCCAAAGAGTCGTCACCCTTGGTATTTGATATTGCATATGTTGCGACTCGCCAGTGTTGCTTTTATCCCGGTGATGGTAATCATAGTGAAAGGTGAAGAGATAAGACTCCGTGTGAAACAAGATGACGGTGGAAATAGGCGATGGTGCGATTGTTCCCATGGTACGCTCCATGAAACTGGGTTTGGAATAATTGTTGCCCCAGATCAGTTAGGATGTAATTGATAGCAATAGTCTTGTTGATAAGGACTGAGTTGAAGCCTGAAGCCATGGTTATAATATTGTGACCCATCGCTTCCTTGGTTACAGGTCACTGTGCGACATCATCTCCTTTTTTATCTCGCTTTTCGAGTTCATTTTTACACATCACTTTTTAAAAGGAGCTTGCAACCTCTCAAGCATGGTCTTAGGCCAACCCACTGTGCCTCTCTCTCTCTCTCTCTCTCTCTCTCTCTCTCTCTCTCTCTCTCTCTCCCTCCCTCTCTCTCTCTCTCCCTCTCTCTCTCTCTCTCTCTCTCTCTCTCTCTCTCTCTCTCTCTCTCTCTCTCTATCTCTCTCTCTCTCTCTCTCTCTCTCTCTCTCTCTCTCTCTCTCGGTCTTTGTTGTAGTCTGTTCATTCCCAGCAGGGAGTTATATAGAACTCCCTGATTCTCAGGCATACCTTCTCCAACCACGTGTTCTCTGTGCGGGAACCCTCCAGACAAGTCTAGCCAACATCACAACGATGTTGGCTGTTGGCTAGTCTTGTCGTCGCTACGTGTTCCGCAGATCTAGTCCTAGCTGTTGACAGAAGCCCAGAACAAAGGTTTTAGGGTTTGGGTCAGACAGGAAATGTTCCTACAGCCGCATGGACTACTGGTAGGTGAAGCGATGCAACAGCCCCTCTTGTAAAAAACTGTGTACGAGTTTCAGTATGCATTGGTACATTTCAGATGTGCCTCCGCCTGACGCTATTTTCGGCTGAAATGAATTCACGCATAAGCCAACCATTTTACCTCCCAACTTGCTGTTGTTACCGTAGCTGAAGTACCCGACCTTTAAAATAGACACTGTTCTGTTCCAATGATCAGGATGGCATGGCCGGGATACGAACCAGACCGCGGGAATCTAGCGAAGGTGATAGGATCAACACGACATAGCTCTTGCAAGTTGGAGACTCTGAGCACGTGTTGACTTGTCTTCAGCGATTTAGACGTTGTCACATTTGCCTATTCAGCTGCTCTGCTCTGCACGGCGGATAACTACTTTCCCTGTGACTGGCTCCCAGGCAGAGCTATGGACGCGATATCCTTGTCATTATCCACATACATGCACAGGTGTACATTATCAATGACATTGCATATAATGCCATTGGCAGTCGAATCATTCCTAGTCTCCGCGGTGGGTCGCCAGGACAGATCACGATGACCACCTCGCCAGCACGTGGAAGATGTGAAGATGCTGGGATCGATGCATCTTCTACCATCGGTTGTACCCTCGGTGGCACTCTCAGCTCAGTCACCGGCACAGCTGAGGACTGCGAGATGACGCTGTCCGAACTACACTCACTGACTCAGGCAATAGAACGACAGTACAAGTACGAGTATCCTGGAATGGAGTCAGTGACCTGTTCTCACTGTTCTCACTGTTCTCACTGTTCTCACTGTTCTCACTGTTCTCACTGTTCTCACTGTGCAGTCACATGCCATTACATCCACTATGATTCAGTGCATGCTAGCAGCTCTACTGGTAGCACCTGAAAGATAGCCCCTGCATGGCGGTCGCGCTGGATAAGGACCTCAGGCACAGGGACAAGGTGACAGGCACTTGTCAAGCCAATGGCAGGCTGCGATTCCGAGAAAAAGCTCGCTCTGCTCGTGACACGAAACATTTTATCGCTGTCGCCGAGCCGTCAAGGCGAGCTGTCTCTATCAGCTAGCCAGTCGCTCGTACCCTGTCCTCTTGGCTAAAACTGTGAAAGCAACTGGCTCTGTGCTTTCCCGCTGTGCGGCCAAAGTCCCTATTTGAACCAGCAACTCTAGAAACTGATCAGTCAGTTGAATCGACCGTTAGGACGGTTCAAACTCACACATCATCATCTCTCAACGGCAGCGGCGAACACGGTGCGACAGACAGCATCCAACATATAAACCTCGCAGCTGACCAGACTAGAAGGGCAATTGAACAGTGTTAGTGATACAGCACTGAAGCAATGTTCGTTGAGTGGCAACGACTAGATTCGCTGGGCGATGAGATGCTGACGGGACCAAGTAGTGCAGAATCGTCCCCGGGAGCGGCTGACTCCACCTCCTCCAACGGCGCATTCTCCGGCGCCAGCGCTCACGACGACGACTTTCTGATCGAGGCGCAGCAGATTCAATTACAGCTGCAAATGGCCAGAATGCAGCAGGCCTGTATTGGTGGTAGCAGCGGTGGACTAGCGGCGGATGGTATCTGGCCAGGTGTGTATGATCTGGCTAATAGTATGGACACAGCGGGGGATGGCTACTCATCTCTAGGCTGCAGTATGGATGACGGCAGTGTGTCCAGCCTCAGCAACACTAGCCTAACGTCTGGCTCATTGGACATGGTCAGTAGTTGGGCAGACGATGCCAATGATCGTTTTGTGGAGGACATCCTGCGCAGCTCGCTGAGTGATCCGATTTCACAGGCGGCCTGGTGTAACGGTCTTCTCCCACAGTCCGTGTCGTCTCGTACGTCCAGTATGATATCGTCCGGTGTTGAGGGGGATGTGGACATGCTAGATTTAGGCAATTTGGATGTGGATGTCTTTCTGCCCAGCGCAGCATTTACTCGTCCGCCCAACCATACCCCAGCAATGACCTCTGTAGCTATCACCGCTCAGTCGCCCGCCGCAACACTGGCCACCCTGCCACTGGCTACTCCACCGTTCGCGTCCCTGGCGACCACTTCGAATTGCGTCGTTACGGCGCCGCAAACCGGTCCCGCGGCCGTTGCCATGGCGTCGCAATTTTTCCCAGGTCACGTGTCGTCGTGTGCAGGAGAGGCGAGACGTTTGACAGGAGGCATGTGTGAGTCGAGTACCTTTGACAGCAGTACTGTCAACAGCCGCGGCGCTGTGCTGAGGACTACAGCAGCTGATCACGGACAAACTTTTCCATTGACCAACGCCAAGGATGGGACCGCAACAGCCAATGGAGCCACGCCCATCATCAAGACGGAGCCCATGGCTAATCCCTCACTGGCCACAGCAGAAGCAGAGGGAACACCCTCCACTGGCAACAATAAAAAGAATAAAATCGCTCGACGCAGACGCTCCTCATCATCCAGTACTGCCAGTTGTTCTCGCTGCCCGTCCTGTGGACACGCGCAGAAACGAACCAACAAGAGCAGCAGCAGCAGCAACGGTAGCACTAGTAGTAAAAGTAAGGACAACAAGAAGAGAAGCAGCAGTCAGCAAGCCATGGAAAGGCACTTGCAGCAGCAACAGCAGCAGCAGCAGCAGCAACGAGCAGCTTCATCTTCTGTGCTACCACACATGATGTACAGTAATGAGGGCGACGAGGAGCAGATCATGTCGGACTTGGACGTTGACGGAGACAACAGCAGCAACTCTTCAACTTCTCCACCGCCACTGATGTCGCACGTAGCGTGTGCACCACCAGCCATTCTACAGCATAACCGTTATCACCACCATCACCATCACCCCCACCACCAACCTCATCATCTTCCTCACCATAATCAACATGATGATCACCTTCAGCCTCAGCCACAGCACGTTAGCCAGCTGCCTCACCCCGGTTACCCATCCAGCCAGTACAGCAGTAGCAGCAGCAGCAACACCAGTGCTGTTGCTCAAATGCCGGTCGCATCCCACATCGCCCAGACGACGAGGCATGGCACTGACTCACCGACAGCGGCCCTGTCCAGTACCGCGGGCAGTGGCGAATCGCCAGCCACTGCCGCTAGCAGTGGAGTAGATAGTTTGAACAGGCAGCCACGCAGTGGTGGCGCTGCTGATCTGCCGCCGGAGAGCATCCTGACCATTGAGAGACCCATTGATGAGAATGACCAGCGCAGACATCGCAGCAATTACATCAAACTGTACGCTTGCGTCTACCCGAACTGTACGAAGGTCTACAATAAGTCTTCTCACCTGAAAGCCCACCTGAGACGACACACCGGCGAGAAACCGTTCGCCTGTACGTGGCCGAACTGCAAGTGGCGATTCTCTCGCAGCGACGAGCTGGCGCGCCACAAGCGTATGCACCTGGGCATCAAGCCCTTCCTGTGTGACTTGTGTAACAAGAGGTTCAGTCGCTCCGACCATCTCACCAAGCACCTGCGTATCCACGCCCAAGTGTCGGGCACACCCATGCCAACCAAGGAACCCAAGAAGAAGAGCGCCACAGCGAAACTCACGGAGCTGGCTGAGAACGCGCGGGTCAAGATGCAGAAGGAGCGCACTGACCAGCCGCCACAGTTGGGCGGTGATCCGGAGGACCACGCAGTTGGCAGCGGCGGACAGGCGGAGGTCGGCGAGCAATTCCACTCATCCAGCGATGGCGAAGGCGAGGCTGCAAACAACTCGCCACTGGAGCAGGACGACGAGGATAGGCAGATGGATTTCGCCCCTGTACCTATCAAGGATGAACTGCCATACGTAGAACCAGTGCAGACGGCACACGGTACTCTCGTGCCACAGCGTGCAGAGATCCTGAACAGGACACCAGTCACCATTATCTTCAAGAAAGAGGAACAGAGCATGGTGGTACGGCCAAACGATAGTATCGACCTTCAATCACAGTCCAGCCTCATCTCCCACAGTCCGCCAGTAACAGCATGAGCTAAACGAACACACGGTGCTGGCTGACCTGACCTGAAGCACATCAGCATAGACGTATTGCTACTACACGGCGTCCTCTATGAATACTCCCTTTCTCATTCATTTCTGACACCGTAAAATACGACCAAGAGTGGACTCTTGATATGACCTATCCGGACAATGTCATGATCATCGACTGATCGCTCATGTAATCGAATGAGACGTCATACACATTGATCTTCGTTGATGCCAACCATGACATGACATCGATTGGTATTCTTGCCATGCTGATTTTCACATACATAGTATGCATCCACGCAGCATCCGAAGCAAAACACAATCATTGTACCTGCTCACCAGTGCACCCTATTGCTCCCCCCAGTATTTAATATCCTCTGGCAAAATGTCCAAAAGAGAGCTCATCTTGTAACACCATCCATTTCCAAAGCATCTTTCTCTTGTGCACCAGAGTATTACACTGCAGTAGACTTAGAGAATACGTACTAGAGTTGACTTCAACACCTGGATCTATCTGAAAAGCAGCAAAACAATATTCGCCACGTCTTCCGTACAACTGGTGCATGGTGTGCTTCTAAATACGCGTGCATCATGTGCATGGGGTGTCAGGGAGTCATACCCAAACCTGGTTCGGGTAGGACTCCCTAGTATTGGGCGTGCATTTGCAGATGATGGGAAACGTGGTGACACATTGCAAGGAACTACATTGTACCATGTTGTTGTTGTGAGCCGCAAAAAACGCCGCATTTGAAGACGGCCATAGCTGTACTGTACTAGTACTAGTAGGTCTAATGACATCCAACTTTGTCAAGCCTCCAGAGACCAGAGTCCTTGTGCACAAGTTTAAAGTGACTGTACGTGACTGTATTAATGGACGACCTGGGCCTGCCGGTGACCGTGTAGAGATACTGTACTGGCACAGTATCTCCACAGAGGTGTATACAGGACTCAGGAGCACAACCATGCACATGATGCATGTGCAACACAGGGTGAACAGAATAAAACTAACTCAGTAACTGTTAATAGTACAATCATGTAATCATGTGTGATAGAGTAATTCAGAGTAAGCACCACTGTGGTAGTGGTCTCTCCTGGTTTCACGGAGTCCCACACATGATACACGTAGCCGGGAGGACGGTGCTCATCTCAATAAGTCGAGCCCTCCATCAAATGACGTCTGCATGCCTTGCCTTCTAGTCTTGTCATCATTATAATGGTGGTGGGCTGGGACACCCGCCAGTAGTGTACATGCCCATCCCAGGACTAAGCTTGGTGGGGGCAAGCGGGTGTGCTGCTGCAGCACGTACACAGAACAGCGTACAAAGTACTACCTACGCTGACATTGATCTGGCTCATTTCATCCTTTCAAACAGACAGTCACAGTATACCGTAACCTTCGGCAATACAACTCGTACTGGCAGAGGTGCTTAGTAGTTTGCGGGTCCTAAAATTTCACCCAATTCGAAAAAATCCGCACAAAAGCCCTGACAGATGTGATGCTCATTAGAATAAATAGAAAGGCGGTAATAAAATACCGACCCCAATTCCAGAAAACATGGTAGGCGTGCGTGTTTCTTGAACCGAAATAAAGAGAAATCAAGGAGAAAGCTTCGAAAACTGTGAAGCATAATGTTTCCTGTAAGTACGGCAGAGCCAGCTGAGCAGGCCAGGCACAAGTCCAGGCCTTGGAAAAAGTAATTTCTAGAAGTTTGAAGCGAAGGGGAGCAGAGACACCGTTCACTCAGAGCAGACTTTGATGAATGATGTGTTGATGTTGTACTTAGTTGGTCCAGCAAAACGTGCCTTGCTCCACAGCGATGCAGCTTTACACCAGAACTGAACCAGCACCAGCGTCAGCAAGCCATCATTTCCTTTTCTTCAGCACAATGAACGAAGCGGAGAAACGCCCACAAACCCCAAACAGGGCAATGGGTTGCTAGAGCGAGTTACCCCGAGGGAGAGAAATCATCGACGTCAATGGAAGAAACTTGTCCATTGGCAGCTTGCTGGAATCTTGCACAGCTGAGCAATGGGGTTCACTTGGGTGAGTTGTGTTCAGATGACAACGATTGCAACTAGATCTTTCCGGAGTACTTGAAGAACTTCTTGAAGTCAGCGTAGAGTGGATCGAACAGTTCCTGCTCTGGGCGACCCGATGTAGCCTTGAGCAGTGACAGCTCATGCTGTCCACAACATGACAACAGGGCATAGATCCCAGCCAACAGTGCGCTCTGAAACAATCAGAGGTAGAATAGTAGACACACACACACACACACATGTGAACATGAGTATCAGAAACTGTTTAAAAAAACCCTGCAGATGTCATCATGGTGCAAGGAAGAGAGAGAGAGAGAGAGAGAGAGAGAGAGAGAGAGAGAGAGAGAGAGAGAGAGAGAGAGAGAGAGAGAGAGAGCCCAGCCGGGGCAGTGTAAAACCACCTTTTGTTTGGAAAACGTGGCACCATGAAATTGCAGATGGTAGTTACTAGTAGAGTGAACTCTTGGAAACATCTGCTCTTGCAAGAATCTAACCTTGTCACAGACACACACAGAAACACTCTAACTCACCTTCACTGGTCCATGCATAGGATAGCGTGTTGAATAGGTCAGGTAAGATGCTAGGATGTACGGTGCATACTACAGGAACAGAAGGAACACAACAAACACATCAACATACCGACACAGCCCACACATGGACAACAGTGACTTAGATCAAACACACACAATCTAAGTGAAAGCAAACAACAAGGAGAAAGAGGTACATCAAGCAAATGCACTAGCAAGTGACTTGATATCCAGGACAATGAGATGCAGTGACTTCCTGCCAAGGACAATGAGATGAGGTGACTTCAAGCCAAGGACAAATGAGATGTGGCGACCTCCTGCCGAGCATACGGCCAGCAGTATGTAATCTACATCTATCATATTTCTAGCAGTGATATGGCAAGAAACAAGTTGAAAGTCTGATGAAGTATCACACATCTGTACAATCACCAGTGCTCACCACTCATTCTCAGTAGCTAAAATGTAGACATACCTTTGAATAGGTCTTCCTGCCCGCAATGTTTTCCAACATCCTGTCAGCAACGGGATGTAAAGAAAGTCAAACAAAGCATGTTACATTCAGTGTGGAATGTGTGGATAGCATGCATGCATGTTACATTCAGTGTGGAATGTGTGGATAGCATGCATGCATGTTACATTCACTGTGGAATGTGTGGATAGCATGCATGCATACCGGCGGTATGCCTGATCCTGACCGCCGCGCATCACTCCCGTACTTCTAACAGAATGCTTACTAGTATACCGGTGAGTGGACATGTTGTACAGCCACCCTCTACTACATCTGCATCAACTAAGATACACTGCAGCTGACAACTAAGATACACTGCAGCTGACAACTAAGATACACTGCAGCTGACAACTAAGATACACTGCAGCTGACAACTAAGATACACTGCAGCTGACAACTAAGATACACTGCAGCTGACAACTAAGATACACTGCAGCTGACAACTAAGATACACTGCAGCTGACAACTAAGATACACTGCAGCTGACAACTAAGATACACTGCAGCTGACAACTAAGATACACTGCAGCTGACAACTAAGATACACTGCAGCTGACAACTAAGATACACTGCAGCTGACAACTAAGATACACTGCAGCTGACAACTAAGATACACTGCAGCTGACAACTAAGATACACTGCAGCTGACAACTAAGATACACTGCAGCTGACAACTAAGATACACTGCAGCTGACAACTAAGATACACTGCAGCTGACAACTAAGATACACTGCAGCTGACAACTAAGATACACTGCAGCTGACAACTAAGATACACTGCAGCTGACAACTAAGATACACTGCAGCTGACAACTAAGATACACTGCAGCTGACAACTAAGATACACTGCAGCTGACAACTAAGATACACTGCAGCTGACAACTAAGATACACTGCAGCTGACAACTAAGATACACTGCAGCTGACAACTAAGATACACTGCAGCTGACAACTAAGATACACTGCAGCTGACAACTAAGATACACTGCAGCTGACAACTAAGATACACTGCAGCTGACAACTAAGATACGCTGCAGCTGACAACTAAGATACGCTGCAGCTGACAACTAAGATACACTGCAGCTGACAACTAAGATACACTGCAGCTGACAACTAAGATACACTGCAGCTGACAACTAAGATACACTGCAGCTGACAACTAAGATACACTGCAGCTGACAACTAAGATACACTGCAGCTGACAACTAAGATACGCTGCAGCTGACAACTAAGATACGCTGCAGCTGAGAATTGGACTGGACGCACACACCTTGTCATGATGACCAAACACACTGAGAGGATATAGCATGGCATCACAAGACTTCCTGACCCTTCTTCTTCCTCTGTGAAACTGCATGAAGCCTCAACACCGCTCCCGATCATAATGGGCTAACATCGCTTAACGTTTGTATCGAGCACGCTACTTCACTGCAACATGCACATGCCTACACAGTATGCACTGACAGTCAACGATGGGACACAGCACACGATTGAACATGCAATGACAATGTCAAAGACGTAACTACTACAGTACCTGGCGTATGCCTCGGCACACTAAGATACACTGCAGCTGACAACTAAGATACACTGCAGCTGACAACTAAGATACACTGCAGCTGACAACTAAGATACACTGCAGCTGACAACTAAGATACACTGCAGCTGACAACTAAGATACACTGCAGCTGACAACTAAGATACACTGCAGCTGACAACTAAGATACACTGCAGCTGACAACTAAGATACACTGCAGCTGACAACTAAGATACACTGCAGCTGACAACTAAGATACGCTGCAGCTGACAACTAAGATACGCTGCAGCTGACAACTAAGATACACTGCAGCTGACAACTAAGATACACTGCAGCTGACAACTAAGATACACTGCAGCTGACAACTAAGATACACTGCAGCTGACAACTAAGATACACTGCAGCTGACAACTAAGATACACTGCAGCTGACAACTAAGATACGCTGCAGCTGACAACTAAGATACGCTGCAGCTGAGAATTGGACTGGACGCACACACCTTGTCATGATGACCAAACACACTGAGAGGATATAGCATGGCATCACAAGACTTCCTGACCCTTCTTCTTCCTCTGTGAAACTGCATGAAGCCTCAACACCGCTCCCGATCATAATGGGCTAACATCGCTTAACGTTTGTATCGAGCACGCTACTTCACTGCAACATGCACATGCCTACACAGTATGCACTGACAGTCAACGATGGGACACAGCACACGATTGAACATGCAATGACAATGTCAAAGACGTAACTACTACAGTACCTGGCGTATGCCTCGGCACACTTTTGCAAAGCTTGCACTTCTGCCGACACTGCTGCTTCTTCCTGCTCTCCTGGCGTGGTGGTGGCAGTAGCATCATCATCGGCTTGCTGGGCTGCATCTTGCAGTGCTTTCCTTGAAGAGGATACAGGCGAATGCTGTTTGGTTCTTGCAATGTTGAGTGCACTCAGCGCCATGATGGCCTGCATGAGGCGATGGCAAATGGCAATGAGAACAGCCACGTGACTGCCCACTGCCGATGTGTGATGCTTGAGTAAGATGTGAATGAGCTCACCGGTACGGCTGCACACCGTGTGAAGACTGCAGACACACAAGTAGAAGAAGTGAACACAACAAAAAGACTCTTCTCAGCTTTGCGATGGCGGAGATCAGAAGCTCCCCGGCAGCTGTCACACCAAACCAACAGCTTCTCCCTGGACTATTGCCAGCATTACTGATTGAACCGAAACTGGAAAACAACACCAAGATGAGACTAGGTACAACACTCGCTATGAAGTTGCAACTTGCAACATCGACAAATGGCAGTTACTGCACATCCTAAAACTGTTGGGCATACAAACTACCTACACTACTATACAGCTATATCCAGTACAAACTACCTACACTACTATACAGCTATGTCCAGGCCCAGTTGCAGGCCCAGTTGCAGGTAGAGTTGCAGGCCCAGTTGCAGGCCCAGTTGCAGGCCCAGCTCCAGGCCCAGTTGCAGGCCCAGTTACAGGCCCAGTTACAGGTAGAGTTGCAGGCCCAGTTGCAGGTAGAGTTGCAGGCCCAGTTGCATGCCCAGTTGCAGGTAGAGTTGCAGGTAGAGTTGCAGGCCCAGTTGCAGGTAGAGTTGCAGGCCCAGTTGCATGCCCAGTTGCAGGTAGAGTTGCAGGCCCAGTATCTAGTACTGAGTACTATCTGTGTAACTAAGAGAAAAGAGTTCAAAAGACTGAGCTATTCTCCAGTACTCACCGATCAGCATCAGCTGAAAGTGGAACACTGTTGCAAATGAACAGCATAGTACCGACAAGTGGTGGACTGAGACACATCTGAACAACAGTGGAAAGAACAACACACACACACACACACACACACACACACACACACACACACACACACACACACACACACACACACACACACGCACGCACACACGCACACACACACATGACATGCACGAGTGCACATACAAACACACACACACACACACACACACACACACACACATGCACACACCAGGGAAACATCACTCAATCTAACAGCCTACATGACACATCCATGAAAGCAAGATCCAAGCAATGCGACACACAGAACCTTCATATGATGCAGCTAGAGTATCACCGCTGACACAATGAGAGCACTATACCACTTCCCAGTGAAACATTTCAAAGTTCCTTTAAAACACATACACGTATGGCTAACACACAGCGCTTACCTTTCCGTGCAGAGCCAGAGAAGTAGCCCACGAGAGAACACGGTCAGAAAACTGTGTCATCTCAACAGGCGACAAGGAATACGAGGCGGCTGTCAACTTTGGCATAAGTGGCAGCAACTACACACAAGAACAAGAAAAATAACAATGTTGAAGACCACAACAACAACAGCAGCAGCAGCAGCAGCAGCACCAACAACAACAAGGAAGTGAAACAACAATTGAATCTTTCATTATACGAATTCTATTCCCAGAGAGAACCCCCAGTGAACCAGGATTTCCAATCCAATATGACTTTGTGCTCTGGTTTTGCCGTTCAGAGTGGAAAGAATCTAGCCTAGAGCAATACACTGGCACTATGGTCACGTGTCCCTTATGCACCTGATAACACGGTGTGCACAGTAACCCAGGCACTCCCAACAGCTGTGTACTGGGAAGCTACATGTGTTTTTCGATTTTGACAGCATGTTACAAGGCGAGGACACGTAGTGCTCCTGACTCGCCTTGTAACATGCTGTCAAAATCGAAAAACATGTTAAACTACCAAGCAAGGCTTCTGTGTGTATATGAAGCTACATGTGTACTCACAGCAGCGGAGAAATGCCCACAACGCACCTTACAGTACGTGCACGCATACACACACGCACACACGCACTCACGAACACACGCACACACAGAGTGTTCGTAATCAGTGTGCTAGTGGATCACGTACCTTGACCATAGCCACTGAAAACTGGAGACGATGTTCAACGGGCATCTCAGCAGGCAAAAGAAGACTAGCAACACGCAACCATTCCAGTGAGATGGACTGTAGCACAATCACAAGAAACCAAGCAGACACCACAACAACAAAAGACAGGGATTCATGATTTCCACAGACATCTTATAAAGGTTTGTTCAAATGCGAAGAAGGGAGCAAAGAAAACGGAATGTTACCTCAGATATACTACGTAACATGGAAAAATGTGTGGGCACAAGTTATGCGATCGAGTACTCCCTCTCAGTACTCCTTGTCAGTTGTGTGCTAGATTGTGCATGTCTGACTGTTCAAAATCTGGTTTAGTTGGTGGACACGATCACATAACTTGTGCCCACATATTTCCATGTTACAATTTTTCCTTGCCTCACCATCTGAGATATGCTATGCGCAATTTTTCTACACTCAAGATACGCTCTTCCAGCCTAGCCCTGTAGTTGGTTCCACTAAGCTTACTTCAGCTACCACTGTACCAGAGTTCAATACACTGACTACTGAAGTCTGAAGTAACCCAGAGTGGTGGACAGCATGCTACTACTGACCTTAGGTGTGACAAACTGTGACACGGTGCTCTTCCATACGTCCAGTGTGCTGCTGCATGGTACTGTCAACAGCAGACTGGCTGCAGTCACGGCACAACACAACACACAACACGCACATGCGCACGCACACACACACACGCACACACATATGCACAACACACACACACACACACACACACACACACACACACACACACACACACACACACACACACACACACACACACACACACACACACACACACACACACACACACACACACACACACACACACACACACACACACACACACACACACACACACACACACACACACACACACACACATGCACACACACGGTAACAAGGCAAACACACACATACAACTTCATGCACACATGGGTAACAAGGTAAAACCCACAGATAACTTCACACACCAATCCAGCATGGCTGCTGCACACCTAGTAGTACATGTATCAGTACAACAAAGAGCACTATGGAGGATCCGTGTCTAAACTGGAGTGGATTTCTTGCTGGTTTGGTGAATGTGATCGGTCAGAGAGCACATGCAATGGTTGTGGGAGTGTAGTGTCTTAGACATAGCAAGAACATTGCAACAGTACATGTACATGGGAGCACATTCAAAAGGTAAAATTCCTACGAGTTGGGCTATGCGTAGCACTGGTACACTTTAGCAACACCCTATCACCATGCTCAGCCAGCTGAATCTGCAACTGAGGTCACACTGCCATGACTACTGTACAAGCAGAAATATTCGTCTGGAATTTAATTTCGTCTTTTTCGTCCAAGGAGCTTTGGGACTAAATTAAATGCCGGACGAATGTGAATTTGTCCAGCGTTTCAATACACTGTAATAGTCCATGGACTAAATTTTCAACCGGACGAAATCCCTTTCTTAGGAGTTGGACAAAATTATTGACCGACGAAATGTTCTGCCTGTACAGTACATTAGGAGATACATAGCGCACAGGCAAGGGATGAGCTCACAACAACAGGGAGATACATAGCGCACAGGTAAGGGATGAGCTCACAACAACAGGGAGATACATAGCGCACAGGTAAGGGATGAGCTCACAACAACAGGGAGATACATAGCGCACAGGCAAGGATGAGCTCACAACAACAGGGAGATACATAGCGCACAGGCAAGGGATGAGCTCACAACAACAGGGAGATACATAGCGCACAGGCAAGGGATGAGCTCACAACAACAGGGAGATACATAGCGCACAGGTAAGGGATGAGCTCACAACAACAGGGAGATACATAGCGCACAGGCAAGGGATGAGCTCACAACAACAGGGAGATACATAGCGCACAGGCAAGGGATGAGCTCACAACAACAGGGAGATACATAGCGCACAGGTAAGGGATGAGCTCACAACAACAGGGAGATACATAGCGCACAGGTAAGGGATGAGCTCACAACAACAGGGAGATACATAGCGCACAGGTAAGGGATGAGCTCACAACAACAGGGAGATACATAGCGCACAGGTAAGGGATGAGCTCACAACAACAGGGAGGACAGAGGTAGAAGGATAAGGACTCTTTGTAGACTGTAATACATTGCACTTACACATGCTGTCGTCCAGGCATTTCCGACACGCCAGCTCGCTTGCCTTGCCTTGATTTTCAACTCTACCAAAGAGATGAAGCGATGCCACTTCCCACAGCACCTCGAAAACACTCTCCTCCAGGCTCAGCTTGATACCGAGAATATCCGAATTGCTGAGGATCGCTTGGGAGAGTTCGACAAGGGAGATCTGCAACAGCACAAAGCAGACCGAATTCCTTACGTGCCCCATATTGCTACAACAAAAAGGAACCAGAGATCCTACCTGACGTTGGCATGCACCTTGATTCCCGTCAGAGAGTGCACTCGCTGTGTAAAATTCCCGGAGCAAGCGGAGAACATCTGGCAGCACAGCACTTGCTGCTAAGGCAACACGCTTGGTGAGCTTGGATGATGAGGCTAGTGCTGCAACCATCACTGACTGGTGTACAAACTGGCCAGAGACTCGGCGCAATTGCTCCCACTCGTCACCAACAGAGTCTGCCGCTGATATACCACGGACGGACTGTGGAAGAAGCTTCTTGATAAGAACTTTGCAGACATCAATAGCAATGGTGCGACGGTCAGCTTGCACTGATTTGATTTTCAGAATCTGCAAGGGCCATGAACAAAGAGAGCACAAGAAACGTTCAAGGTCCCACCAAACAGCAAAAGTGTTAACCCTTAGGTGCCGGTAGGTCGATTTCGACCTATGCTGACAGTGCATACTAAAATCGAGCACAGAACCGGTCACGTACATCGCAGGTGCCTGATTTTTTGTACAGAGACCCTTCAGTAGCTGGCCTGTAGATAGCAATAGAGAAAGTAGAGGGGTTGCATTTGAAAAAGTCGAGTCGTGATCAACGCGATCGCGCAGATCAGCGGAAGTCAATCGAGCGTGCGCGATCGCGCAGATCAGCGGAAGTCAATCGAGCGTGGCAGCCTACGCACGCGTCCCGCAACATGAACAAAACGTTGCTGTTTCGCTTCGTTTTCGACTAGTACAGTTCATGGCTACTACAGCTGACCTCCGTCATGGATGCTGCAGGAGCGCTTGAGTTGTTTGAAGAGCTGGAGGCCGATGATGCCCCTGTAGAAGAAGAATCAGAAGACGACGATGGTGAAAAATCTGACGCTCTTTTCTCTGACGGAAACCTGCCGTCATCAGTTGAGGAAGACCGACTAAACGATGATTTGGTTTTCGGTGAAATTCTTGAGAACGGCAGCTCTTCAGATGAGGACAAAATTTCCGACGATGAGCTTCAAGAAGCTGTAGGGCGAGGGCAAGCGCAGCCAGTTCGTGGACGTGCTCCGCTCGCGCTGCGCGGAGGAATTGCTCGCGGCGCTGGTCGAGCTCAGCCAGCTGATCGAACAGCTGATTGTGGCGTGCGTGGCGCGTGTGGCGGAGGCTGTGGCGGAGGCCGTGGACGAGGTAGTGGATTCGGCGTGCTGAGTTGTGTTGGCGACCAAGATGTTCTTGGACCAGCGCAGTACCCTGACCCTATTGTAGATTTTTCTGACTTGAAAATTCAAAAATCGGATCTTGCTGTGTATTGCCATTCAGAATACATACTTTTGTCGCTACATCATCTAAACGGTTGCGGAGATATAGGCTTTCCAAAAAATTGAGCCAAAACTACGAAAAATCTAAAATTCAGTCAGGCACCAAAGGGTTGAGAGAGAGAGAGAGAGAGAGAGAGAGAGAGAGAGAGAGAGAGAGAGAGAGAGAGAGAGAGAGAGAGAGAGAGAGAGAGAGAGAGAGAGAGAGAGAGAGAGAGAGAGAGAGAGAGAGAGAGAGAGAGAGAGAGAGAGAGAGAGAGAGAGAGAGAGAGAGAGAGAGAGAGAGAGAGAGAGAGAGAGAGAGAGAGAGAGAGAGAGAGAGAGAGAGAGAGAGAGAGAGAGAGAGAGAGAAGAGAGAGAGAGAGAGAGAGAGAGAGAGAGAGGCACTATCAAGCAGAACTACCTCAAAAAGAGGACAGCAAAACCAGAACTGAAGAGACTCTGTTTGAACACAACCACAAATTCACCTCATACCTCACAAACAGCACACAGGCTGGAATGAGCTGCAGCCATATAGAACGTCTGTGCATGGATACTCGATGCACTTGAAGCCGCCTTCACAAACTAAAAAAGCAGAGAATATTTCAATACGGGAGAAGAGAGAGATGTACCAAATCATGACCATCACATATGTACGTCTTCAAAAACAACACACTATTTTGGACAGGAGCTTGAACTTTGGTTAGCTGAGCCTGCTCCAGCCTTGGCCTGAACAGGCCCTACAAGTAGGTCCATGCTCAGTGCTATCATTCTAACCACCAAACTAGCTTCCATACACATCCCCCCCATTACAACCAGCAAACTAGCTTCCATACACAATACACATCCAGCATTACAAGCAGTTGTCATGCGCACCATCTATGGCACCTATCAAAATCAAACAAGTGCACTACCGCCACCAATGATACATGTTGAAGGGTGCTAAATACACAGGGGCAGTGGGGAGTGGTATGACCGGGGGTGCGGGGTGGGTGTCACTTGGGGAAAAAATTGGATTTTCGGCCAACAGGGCACGTTTTAGCAGAAACGGCAACAAGAACTGCGATTTTAATCCTGAAACCACCAGTTCAATGACATGGACAAGAACATTAGCAAAAGAACACCAAACTTGCACATGCGCTTGGTTACAAGCTCGGGGGGGGGGGGGGGGGCACTATTCAAGAGAGGGCTCTAATCGCGCGAGTACGGTATGTACATATGTATGCATGGCAAGCTGAACTTTTCTTTACAGTATTCATCGGTAATTGTTTTTAATATTTTTTACAGCCAACATACGCGGTTTACCCGTACATTTTTTTGGATTTCGGCCAACGACGCCCCGAGTCGTACAAGCCCGGGTTTGTGTGACTCCATGTTACAGATCTACTCAGATGATCAGTATTGTACATGTGTGAACTGTTCAATTTTTTTTGACTTTGGCTCGATTTTGGTGTGGGAGGGCCCGGGAATCTCTATTTTTTTGGTCTCGCTTGATTAAGTTTATGGAGGTTTTTTGCTCCTTATGGTTATAGTCGATAGGTCCATACTGATGGCCACAAACAACAGCAGTTCAAACTTCAAAGTGTTCATGAGCTGAGAGATAGCTCTCCACTATTTCTGTTGTGCATCGTCATGTATTCTGTTTCTCCCTGGTGTTTTTTTTCCTTGAGCAGTGTTTCTGCTAAGTATTTTCCCTGGCCCCTTTTCACTTCCCTTTCGTCTCATCCACCCTTCCAGGAAACTCCCCCGAAAAGTATCCATTTACTTTTGGAGAATCCTTCAAATAAAGTCTAAACGAAAATACAGGTCTGTCCAAAGAGCATTGGCCGTAGTGGTAGACGCGTCTCCCGTGTGGTATCTGCTCCGAGAAGGTAATCGCAGGAGCCACCGTTCAACTAATGTATAACCAGGAATTTCGGTGGTGTAATATTTTCGGTATTTGCCAAAATCAACGGTTCAGTAGCGTGAAAATTTCAGCAAGCCAGTTTTCCAGATTCAAAAATGCATCTTGCACACTGTGTGGCATGGCATGGTTGAATTTTAGTTCGCGTTTTTTTTTAAGTAAAACTTACCAGTACCGAAGTTACCGAAAATAAATCTCCACCGAAATTTTCCGGTGTTACAGTACTGTTAGGTCCACGATTCCGCATATGCACGCACTGACACACTGCTGACCTCTCTCCCATATACGCATGTACACACGCACTCATACACAAATTACTGCATGCACCTCTTTTCCGCTTCTCCATACTCTAGTACTCTAACTTCTTGCTCCCGCACTCTTCCTGCACAAGTTCCCACATTTATACCGTATTATCCGTTGGCCTGGGTAGCTACATTCGCGCTCTCATCCATTCATTGCCATAGCTACCCAGGCCCTTCATGTTGTAAATGTATGAGCCCTGTACACACTCCCATACGCACACACTCCCCTACACATATTCATGCACCCCCTGCTGACCCCGTTTCCCGCTCACCCTGTCTCACTAACTGCATGCACCCCTTTTCCCGCTCACCCTGTCTCACTAACTGCATGCACTCCTTTTCCCGCTCACCCTGTCTCATTAACTGCATACATTCCTTTTCCCGCTCACCCTGTCTCACTAACTGCATGCACTCCTTTTCCCGCTCACCCTGTCTCACTAACTGCATGCACCCCTTTTCCCGCTCACCCTGTCTCGCTTAATGTATGCACCCCTTTTCCCGCTCACCCTATTTTCCCACTTACTGCATGCACTCCTTTTTCCCTCCATAGCTCTAGTTATACCCTGAAGGCTGCGCTTGCGCAGGGTGTGTTCTCCCAGTCCTTTGTGCTATTCTCCTAGTCCGGACCTCCTTGTGCTGTTCTCCCAGTCCAGAACGTTTGTGATAGTCCAGTCTTTCCTTTGATAATATTAATATAACCATTATAAAAGCCTTACGTTTGTTCTGAGACGAGTAGTACAAAAAGTAGTCGTACATAAAGTTAGTAGTCCCTTATTTGACTACATTCATAGCCTCGTGCTTTCGACTTGTTCTCTCTCTCTCGAATCATTTCGAATGCTTCCTGCAAGAGTAATTCAGAACCTCGTCGATCAGTCTGCTGGTGCGTGCCGAGATCTTTACAGTACGAGTATACAGGCTTTCAAGAAAGAGAGAGGAGCCATCTTGGCAAGGCTGATACCTGATGTGAACCGACAGAATTCTCACGAGATACCTTGCGGACCACGTCTTGTGAATACTTCATAATACTCCTTCGACTACTGGCCAGAATTCAAGTAGACTGAAACAAGCCCTCAATTTGACAAAGCAAATCGTTCTCTCATGTACTAGATAATTCCGACAACTCGCGATCACCACCTGCCGCATTTCAAGTCTTGTGTTGGACGCCGGCGAAAGAAAGCAACGGCTCCCGAAAATTATTGTCGAGGGCGTGGAGGACTACAACAGTGTTCTTCTCAGATGTTGGAATGACGGTAGACCGTGAAGACGCTCGAGGAAGGTCAACATCTGGATGCAAGGATATTATACAGTTGGTCAACGATCATGACACATTGTCGGAAGCTGCACCATCCGCATAGTGTCAACCAAAGCTACAAAGAAGGGCTTCAGCGTTGCACTAGCAGCAACAACAGGTGCCGGGCGACAACTGCCAAGGCTCATCATTTTCAAGGAGTGCAACAAAGCTTGGCCCTCGAGTCGAGAAGGCTCTGAAGGCACCCGACGCTGGCAACGTTATGTTCACGGCCAGCAACAGCGGATGGATGACTGGCGAACTCTACCACTGGTGGCTGAGGAACGTATACCGAGTCCCACGGTGGAACCACTGAAGACACGGGTGTTCTAGTGGTAGACAACTATCGTCCGCATATTAGCGACGAGTCGAAAAAATTTGTCACGGAAGAATGTAACAGCCAGGGCTGATTCCCCATGGCTGCACTAGTCTTGTCCAGCCCATGGATGTTAGCGTGAATTGCTCGTTCAAGTTCAAAGAAACTGATGGAGCTATGGGTGAATTGGTTCAGCACGCATGACTCGCGGAGAGCCAGTAACAACTAAAAACACTAAAATAGCAAAGCCATCAGCAAGTATCAGTTAACTTACCCTCTCCGCAAACGCAACCAGGTGCAAATCAGCTGAGCCATGAGCAAGTGCCAGTCGCACAGCAGATGAGAAAAAGTCCAGATCAGGTGCCATACAGGCTGCTGACATTGAAGGAGTCGAATTCACCGCAGTCACATCGCTGGCACGGCCATACAGGTGAGAGAGAAGCACGTCCAGCGCCGGTAAGGAAGACAGAAGGGCCTGACGACGAGAACGCTCCATCACTGATCTGCTGGCCGGTGAAGCACAGCGATCAATCACTGCTGCCAGCAATGACTTGCAGCGATTCGACGTTGCCGCACACTACAGGACAACAACAAATAAAATGGGACTTAGTGGAAAACAGCAGCAATGGAATGATAAGACTAGCAGTGAAGATCCTTTTGGACATGCAGCTTTTGCAAGTACATGTAAGAGGTTGGGAACTTGAAAACTACGTTCAAAGCGGAAAAATCAGGAAATACATGCACTGATGCTGTAAAGCAAACAGGGTACACACCAACCACAACATTTCTCTAATTGTCCATCTATTTCGCCGTACAATGGGATGTTTGTATTCCATGTCCGGGAAAAAAGCTCACACATGGCAGCACCCAAGCATACTCACCGCAAAGAGATCTGCAACAAAGCTGATCACTGTGAGAAGAACAGCGGCGACGGACAGCAGGCTTGGTGAGAAGAAGAACATTGGCAGCTGCTCAATGACCTGTACCAGCACACACATACGCACACACATACGCACACACATACACACACACATACACACACACATATACATACACATGTACACACACACACACGCGCGCGTGCGCGCGCACACACACACACACACACACACGAACACGCACATCACTGAGTCATTGGCAACTTACTTCGAAGTACGACATATGAACATAATTTTTGCCTATCTACGGCACCAAGAGTACATAAACCAGAGTGTGCAACTCGGGATGGTTCCTGTGGAAGCGTAATTCGTGCAGTACGTCATTTCTGACGGCATGGTAAACCACAGGTACGGTGAAAAGTTGCGTAACCAGTCACGGTGGTGCAGGTCGCTGAGTTTGTCCTAATTTCAGTTTTTTGATACGGATAGCCTGGTGACTTTACTTGTCGGTGGATGTACACAGTCACACAAAAACACCGAAATCCTGAAACAGGACGTCTAAAATCAAGCAAACTTGGCTGATTTCTGGGCTACGAAACACGAAAATTTGAGCTGTACGCAAGTCGCGGCTTGGCTGACCTCATCAGGGTGACGTAGTGCACGAACTGCGCTGTTTCAGATCTGATATGCACAGTTGCACACTCTGGTTTATGTACTCTTGACGGTACGTTCACATGTCGTCACAACCACATCATGACGGTTTTAGAGTACAGGATTAGGTGAAGATTGTGCCATAAGACAACTTATCATCAATGCTACTGGCATAGATACAGTATCAACTGTTTGCTGTAAAGAAAGAAATTTCATGACTCACTTGAGAGCCAATCAGACTGACCTACCCCCCCCCCCCCCCCCCAACACACACACACACACACACAACACCAGCATAAAGGCACAGATGTAGCTCCATCAGCAGTGGGCGTGAGTGTAATAATTGAGTAATCATTGGTAATCCGACCCAGACGCAGCACACGGCCAAAGACCAGAGCACCCATACGCTGTACCAATGTTACCTTCATACCAGGCCACAGTCTTGCTGAGTTTGCTGTTAGCACATGAGAAATCATATTATACCTCAGGAAAGGATTGAAAGATTCAGGGCACAAGTCCCAAACAAGACTAGAACATGTTTGTCACTTACAGATATTAATCTGTCCACTGATTTCCACAGATCAGTCGCAGACCTCAGGTCCTTGTTGGCACTGTGATCTTCGGACATGATTCCCTCCAACATCTCACTCCATTTTGCCACGGTCTTGGAAGAGACGGTGGGGTGTGACTCATCGAATGCGCACTGCGCCGTGCATTCCTTTGCTACACTCTTCAGCAGCTTGACAACAGATCCAACACTGCTAGCACCGAACGGGAAAGGCAGAGAAAGAGAACTCAACAACATCAGGTACTCACGTGAACATCACTCTCTGCATCCCACGATTCCAGCAAAAAAAAAAGAACACGAGACGTGAAGTACCGGATTGTCCAGAGTGTTGGCCACACTTTGAAACACAAAAAAAAAAACAGAAAATCGCCCCTGCGGCCTAGACTCCGAATCCTGCATGTGAATCGACCAGCGCTCCATGCATACTTGTATAACGTGCGACTGGTATAATTTGTACATGTACGTCTCGTGTACTGCAATTGATCCTTGCACTAGCGGGAAGCTTCCACATGTTGTCAGAAGTTAAGGCTAGGATGATGCAAACACACATCTGTCGATCAGTTTTGCTTTTGAGTTGGCATGGTGGATGCATGTCTTACCTGCTGAGGGTGAGTTTAGCTGCCCGATGCAGGTCCTGCACAGCCGCAGACACCAGTGACGTGTGAAGCTCTCGGCTCGACTGGGCAGCTGGCAACTGCAAGAACAGGCGGCCGTCCTGCTCAGGGCTGACAGTAGCACCATTAGCAGCTGTGCTGTCACATGTTATCTCACCAGTGCTGAGTACAGAAAGAAGAGAGAATAGAGAAGAGTGAGAGAGTAAGAGAGTATACAAGCACGAGTGGCCAGAGAATAGAGAAAATTGGGGGGGGGGGGGGGGGAGTTGGTAGAGGCAAGCCAGAGACAAGTAGATACACAAATAAACTTAGAAATGGCTCATGCTGCTCATATCATCCCATATAATTTTTTCTTTAATTAAATCATACATGCTAGCCATCATACAGCAAAGCAGATGGCAAGCCTGAGGTTGCCATTATTACCATGGCAGCAAACGCAGAGGACTTGCCCAAGTACTTCAAACACTAAAACAGAATCAAGCGGGCTGTATAAACTAACGTTTTCGTAGCCCGCGCTAATACAGCAGACTGAGGTTGAATGCGGTCAAGTACAAGGCGTCCGAGAGTTGCCCAGTGATCAGGGCGGCATAGCTGTGATACCAGTGGAAAGTGTGTCATGACCAGGTCTAGAGATGGTGGCCGCTGCTGCTGGTGCTGCACAACACCAGAGTCAGTCTGACATACAAACAACATAGTGCATGCATACACACATGCACAGACAAACAGACAGACAGACACACACACAGTGGTATACTCACATCAGAACTACCCACCCACCTGCCAACACACATCCAGTGATATAGTGCATGTTGGCACGATTACATACACATGAATGCACAGTCAAGCTACTCTACTGGCTGATGCAAGAACCGGCAGCAAAGCATCTATGGTGAAGCTAGAAATACAAAAATCACCGCAGAACTGGCCCAAGTGACTTCTGCTGCCTACGCAAAACCAAGCTACATGCGCTAACAACCAAGACATTCAACCTTGCCGCCCCGGCTGTGGAGAAAATCCGAACTCTTAGGCTGTGTTTACATGAAGCGTTTCAACCCGGGTTGAGTTCGACCCGGGTCAGATTTCAACCCCCCATGTGCACAAAGTGAATGGCGCGTTTACATGACGCACTGCGCTTGACCCGGGTTGAAATTTCGCCCCGGGTTGATTTCAACCCTCCCCCCAAGGGGAGGGTTGAAATCAACCCGGGTCAAGAAAATCGTACAAACGTACTTCTGTGCGTATCTCGCGCCAGGTTTGAACAGCACTGCAGATGCAAATTTCGCGCGAACGGATTCACGTGACCATACAGGACTGTAGAAGTGGACTTTTGGCGGCATATCAGTATTTGACCCGGGTCAACTGTCTTCATGTAAACGCTCACCTCTTTTGTCTATCGTACAGACTTTCAACCCGGGCTGAACTCGACCCGGGTTGAAATTTCTCATGTAAACACAGCCTAAGGAAACTCACTGTGTGGCTGGCTGTCTCATGGCACAAGAAAACCAAAAAACAATTGAGTACATAAACTTCGTGCCCTGATCAGGAGTTAATACTGTACTTACTTCAGGCTTCTCATCACCAAAGTCCAGAACAAAGTCCAGGACCTGTTCCTGAACAGCAGAGTCACCACCATCGTCATCACTGTCATCACCATCTTGCGGTGTACCATCATCCATTGGCTGCTCCTTCTTCGTACCATTCTGGCGTCCAGCTTTGCCACCGCACTGTCCGCACTGTGATGACAAGAGTGACTGGGAGTGAAGCCAATGAGCGGCGAGGCAGCGCTGCAGAAATACACAAACAAACAAAATCAACATGAGTGTGTTGTCGTTGCCACCACCAATACCAGCAACAGCCCACATCTCCCCCTGTCCCCCCCCCCCCCCCCCCCCCGACCACAGCCCCCAGCCCACAGGCAACAATGCGCAGCCAAGAGTGCACTATTCCCATTTACTTGTACATGACTTGCTCTACCTCCCCCCCCCCCCCCCCCCCGATGACCGATCCGTGTAGGGAGAGACTTTCTTTGTCATTCGGGGCTAAACCATAGGCAAAACACCAGGCTTTAGTAGAAGTACGAAAAGTGCACAGACCTCTCCATGAAGTGACTACTAGTACTTATGTACGAGGCTCAGAATATGTGCATCTACCTACATGTAGCTACACTGCAGCAGCGGAGAGTTAGGGTGCGTTCTTATATTCTCTAGCTTCTAGAAGAAGAAGAAAAGAGAAGTCGAAGAAACTGGGATTATTCAAGAACGGGTCTCGAAGAATTCAGAGATATTTTTCACATGTCAAGCAAAATGAAGCGCCAAAGGGGCCGCGATCTTGAGTGATGAATGTAATATGCACGTGTGCATATCCGAAAAGGGAAATGCGTACACTCATGATGAACACGTGGCTTTTAGTCGTAGTTCGCATGCGCTGATCCCAAACCGCGGGAATCACCAAGTTTCAACCACCTCTGAAGCTTGGAGAGCTTTGGAGAGCCTCCTAAAAGTCAGAGAGGCTATAAGAACAGCTCTCGAACTTTTCGGAGAGTCTCCAACTTTTCCGAGAGGATTTAAGAACGCACCCTAAGTTTGTTAATGCGCCAATGCGCTAGGAGATCTGCTCAATGTGGATGTACAGATTACCAAGTTGCAGATCACTGCTTAGCCGGTTATGGACTCTTGTCTACAGATAAAAGAATGCGCTTTCCCACATCCCCCCCCCAAAAGGATAGACAAGCAGTTACTCTGTACAAGTCTACAGTCAGGCGACATGGGCGTGGGTCATTTTCAAGTTGACGTCATTATTTATGATCCAATGCTCCTTGCACCAGTGATTTACAACATGTGTACGGGTGTCAACGCATCACACGTTTTTCTCAGCAATAATTTGTACAGGATCAGACGGGCTTCGGTCCACCACACGTTCCGGATTCGTCTGATAATCCGTCTACAGTGCGCATTGCATCATAAAAATGACGTCAACTTGAAATTCTGTCGGGACAGCACCCATAGTCGAGTTGCACACTCTGGAAGGTTATGTACTCTTGATGACACTGACATCTCTTACCATCTGCACTAACACACCAGGATCCCGTAGCTGCTGGAGATCATCCACCACACTGCACCATACAGTGGGCACGGCAATCTGGCCGCCCCGAGCAGGAGTTGAGATGCTCATGGGCGTGACAAGTGTAGACAGCAGTGTCCCGGGCATGGACCACTGCATCCCGTTGCCCTGCAGGCTGTAGAGATGTATGGCAGACTGTCCAATGGCACCAGCAACTTGCAGGACACTACTCAGAAGAGATGCTGAGTTGGACTGGTGTCGGCATGCCTCGAGCAGCGGGACGACTATGTCTGAGAGCGTGTCTTGCAGCAAGCTGCACACAGCGCCAGCAGCTGAACCGTTCACGATGTGAACGTTGGAGACGAACACGGAAAACAGTGCAGCTCCTGTGCACATGCCGTGGAACTCTTGCTGCTGCTGCTGCTGCTGTTGTCGGTGTGCTGGTCGCTGTGAAGCTTTGGTACGTTTGCGCTGTGGCTCACCTACACACAGCACACAGTCAACAACAGGAGTCAGAGAGCAGACGCAACAGTAGCTGTACAGCCTCACTCATGTTTCAATTTCAAGTACAAACAACGTGTCCCGATGGTGACATGTAACTAATAGCTTGGTGCAAGCATGGTACATGACCACTGCATGTGCCGCAGGCCCACCACACCATAACACTCCTTCATGTGCGTACATACCGTCGTCACAAGATTTCTGAAGACTGTCCAAGACCTTAGTGAAGTATGTTGAGAAGCCTTTCCACAGTGCACTGAACTGACTGATGGCTAGCAGCTGGACCAGAGATGCAAAGCTACACACATCAAGGCAAACAGACAGAACAAGCAATGAGTGTAAAGCTGAGGAATGCCAAAGATCGTGGCTGGGGTGATGGCAGCGCTGTGTAGCATAACGGTAACTGAATCAAAGTAACCATGATCTCAGCAGAGGCATACAGCGCAGGTCTACATCATGTACATGTATTTCCAGTAATTTCCAGCGTGAGTGTGAGTGAGTGTGTGTGTGTATGCGCGTGTGTGAGCACGCATGTGTGTGTTTGCATGCGTGTGTGTGTTTGCATGCATGCATGTAGAAGCTAAAATTAAAAAGAATGGAGAAGAAGATGTATGTCATTGCGATAAACCAGCACAAGTGTTCAGTAGTGGCACATTATCCTTGCACTGAGCACAATTCACCTTTTGCTCAGAGAGTCTGGGACACCACGGAAAGGTACTTCTGATGCAGCGGGGAGAAGATTCTCTACCAGTCGACTCAGCTGTGGGTACACAAGAATACAAAGAAAAGCAACAACACAGTAAGAAAATCAATTTAACAGAAAGGCAATGGGACACTGATGGTCCAAAGCCAATAAATAACACAACAAAACACCACCCAGGGGCAAGTGGAACATGACACTAACAACATACATAGTACAATAGATTGGTAAAGTTATCGATCCGTGAACGGCTAGTACTTTAATGGGAAAATGGGATGTTTACAGGTGTTGACGTGGGGCGCGTTCATGTAACGTTGTGCTAAAGAGGCTTATAACAGTGATCACAATGTGCTAACCTGTCCTAGTTTGCCATACGTCATCAGTATTTTCTGCACTAGCTCATTGGCTGGTGAGTGAGTTGCTGATGCTGTAGGTGACAAGCCCAGTGAGCGCCATGCCAGCTGAAATACAGACTGTAAGTGCTCCTCGACAGCGCGATGATTCAAGTCCAGAATGACCGACAGGGCCTTGCAGACGACAAGGCTACAATCATACACCATGGACATACAAACACACATACACACACACACACACACACACACACACACACACACACACACACACACACACACACACAAGCATACATTTAAGTCATTGAAACATCACATTGTATAGACAAGCACTCACTGCGACATCACACATGAACCTAGCAATCAGCCTTGCCTAGTTTCCAACACCAAAAAAAATCGACGGGTTCGCGTACCGGGCAGGTCAAGAACAAGGAGTCGTACAACTCCCTGGTCAAGAACCACCTTTCCGCTTCCGTGGGACGCCACCACCCCATGATCAGGCATGATCAGGCGTCACCAGCTATCATAAAAATCATAAAAAGGAAGAAGCATCCATGTGTGACTTACTGGTCCACTGGTGCTTGTACTAGCCAGCTGACAGCATGCTGGAACCAGGTCAAGTGATGGCCACCACTCATTTTGTCATCAACGACCTGAAATACCGCATGGAACACACATCAAGAGAAACGGGACTCAGAAACCAACCCACACGTGCACACACGCAGGCATGCCAGAACATGAAACAGAAGTACCTCAAGGTCCACGGCGAGTCCGGACAGCCACACAGACAGAAAATCACACAAACAAACACACACACACACACACACGCACACACACATACACACACACACACACACACACACAGAAAACAACACAGAAAACACACAGCAACAGCTCATGGGCAAGCACCACACAACAGCGACACAGTGACGGCGGAACTGTCCCAGCAGCCTACCTTGTAGACTTTGTACTTGTTGACCAGTGTCAACAGATGAACAATACACCTGGCCTTGTCGAGTGTTAGTGCTGGCACAGCAGCTGTGTCAGACTCAGTGACAGTGACAGGCACATCCAGTAAGTGTATCATCTGATAGAAGAATGGCAGGTCGGCGGCAGCAGGCCGATCACTGCGAGCACGGGCGGCAGTCAGGTAGAGTTGGAAGAAGAGCGATGGCCACGTGTAGCACTGCATGTACAGTACATGGGGCGCAAACATGTACACACACGCACGTACACACACACACACACACACACGCACACACACGCACATACGTACGCACGCACACACACACACACACGTACACACACACACGTACACACACACACACGTACGCACACACACACACACACAAACACATTGGCTTTACATTGCGTACTCCGACTATTCTCCCCCATATCTGGTGTTTTCTGCTGCACAACATGTCGGTTACGCCACTACTTGATTACAGTGGCCTTTCTCAGTGTTCAACTACATAAAATTATAGAGATGGCTCGCATTCATTCGTTTCTCCAACTTGATTTATGTTCATTCAACTTTCAACTGCTCACTCGACTACGCAGCATGGAGCAGTTGCTGTGCGAACGCATCGAAGCACACAGCGCTCGTGGAACACCAGAGATGATTCGGGTAAGTGAGTATCGATGCACAGTTATCTTGTGTCAGTGGAGACTACACCCGCCATGCTGATGATGTGGGCGGCTGAGCCCTGATGACAAGATCCACTGACAGATTCCTACCTCAAGTTACTTCTATGCTAACTGACAATCGGGAGTGACAACCCACTTATGTGAATATATTGAAACAGTATGGCTAAAACCTGAAAATGGGGATGTGACTTATAATCGGGGAAATGCAGTATGTGTGCTGCTCATGACATTATCATATTCTAATTGTACAGCAGAGGACGGGACTGTACAATTCACCTGTGCATCACCAGCAGCTGCTGAACTCTGCACCAACTCCTGAAGCGTTGCAAACAGCTTGTGCGAGTGACTTGTCGACTTGTTGACGCTTGCCTGGGGCGTTGCCGCTGCTTCCGCTGGCTTTTTCTTCTGCTTAGCAGGGGATGGCGAACCGTTGACCTTGTCGGAAGATGTGCTTGATGACATCATTGCTAGAACTGAAGGGATCTGGGATAGGTGCTCCCTGGTTTCAACAAAACAAGAAGCACACACAGATGCATTGTCCGGCTACACCAGCATGACCAGGAGAGAGCGCACAGCCCAGACATAGAGAAAGGCACAATCCAGACAACAAAATGCAAAGCTGCAGAATCACACACACACACACACACACACACGCACGCACACACACGCACACACACGCACACACACACACACACACACACACACACACACTAACATGCACACACACACACACACACACACACACACACACACACGTGCGCATACACACACACATACATACACTACTGTAGGTGCACATTTACACATACTTGTCAAACAAGGTTGCACCAAGGACGTCTTCAATAGCGCTGGCCAACTTGCTGGACACATCTTGCAGTGAGTGAGTTATAGCTGTGTCAGCTCCATCACCATTCGCACAGTCAACAGCAGAGGCTATTTCCTCTCGCAGCTCGTACACGGGAAGTAGAGATCCAATCAACTTCTCAACTGCCAGGAGAAATATCTAATCGAGCACAGGGAAGAGAACAGCCACATACATCCAACAGACTCTCAGTCTCTTATCCAGACGCCCCGTACCCGGGTACGGAGCTCAGCCGAGCACTCAGTACCCTGCAGGAAGGTACAGTCCAATCTTGAGGAGTTCTTCCTTTTCATGATAGTCAGCTGAACTACCTCACCACACAACAGTTAGGAGTCATCACAAAAGTTTTCTGTCGTCCCTGAAACGAACATCGTTCATTTCGTACTAGGACCCCCTCCCCTCCCTCTGAAACGAACACAGCTTGCTATGCTGGACGACGAAAATCGAATGCATGTACATGTCATATGAACAATGTCGGTCGACTTGCAATTTTGGCCCGCACCCCCCACACTCTTGGGGGCTTATATACTCTTGGTGATATTCATTGCACAGAGGCTCTGCTCCATGTAACACTGTAGTGACCCTACATTTTTACTGCATAAAATAACTGTGTTATTTCGGTGTAACTTTAATTTCAGTGATTTCAGTAGAGAAACCAAACGCCTAAATTAAAATTACACCTAAAAGGCACAAGAGTATGCACTGTGTGTGAAGGGAAAGCTGGTCACTGTAATTCTACATTACACCTGAAACCTGTCAGGTCCCTGGCACCGACATTTTAATACACCTAGAATTACCCCCCCCCCCCCCCCCCCTTTACTTTTCGTAGTTTGAGCACTCTGGCGCTAGAGCGACGAGCTATCTTAATGTCTGTGGTGCCTCCTTTGCACCATGGCCGGTAGCTCGGCCTATTTAGCTCGTAGCTGTACTGATGGGGCCTTTAGGGCTGAAACAGCTTGCTGTCTACAGCATTGGGTACACCTAAAATTACATGCTTTACAGTACCAGTTTTCAAAGATTTTCTTTTCTTTTTCTTTTTTTTGTTTGTTCCTACACCATAACACGCATGCCCGGCCAGTCCTTCCTCGGCCTTGTTTTTACTGCATTTTCTGCGTAGTTTGCATTGCACGCCTCTTCGAGTTTTTCCGAAATATCTCCATGATGGACGCTGTCTTGGATTTGCTGCATACCCTGGCGCAGCCAGAGGTACAATCTGGCATCGCGGCCTCCGCCAACTCCCGCAGAAAACAAATCGGAGACACCGTTTCGCGGAATGGTATACAAAATCCCCCAAATTCCACACCCACGAGCGGAATAGAAACTGGTCGTGTCACCACCACAGCCTCTGGCGGTCAAGAAGTGGAGGAGGCTCGGAACCCTTCCACCAGGGAATGGGACCATGACTTTCGTGTAGATGGCGGGGAGCCTTCTCGTTTTATCTCTTTGGCTTAATGGCGTTCTGCCAGCCTCGGTTTTTTGCACCGATCGCCATTCCAGCAATGGCGGTCGGGGCCGTAGTAGGGGTGACGTATCTGTGCGACGTGATTACCACACTGCTGATCGCGGAAGTGAAGTTATTAGGACACGTCGTGATTTATGTGCTCTGTGTAGCTCACGGGACAGATCTCACTCGCTTTCTCCCCCTCGTTCCTCCTCACGTGAACGAGTAGATCTAGATCTCGGTCTGTGTCACGCTCCCTTGCTACACACGGGTCTCGTTTGAGTGCCCGGGGCCAAATTGGTCACCCAGGCAGCGCGAATCGCACCGTTTCTCCAGGCACCGGGATTCAACTAGTACTGGCACTAGCTCTGGTACGTCAGGTAGTGACTCCGACAGTGCTAGTGGCACATGTCCGTCATCCGACGACTCGGCTGCCCACGAGCACCGCCGTGGTAGCGGTAGTACAGCTCACGCTGCCGGCGCGGGTTTCGACCCTAAGGGGTTGGTGGACGACTCTGTATGGTCTCCCCCCTCGCACATGGCCACATGTCTACGGGAACACTACCGTGGTTCCCTGTCGTTTGCCGAGCATCGACGAGTGCGGAAACTATGTCCCTGACCAGACGTGGACGAAACAAACATGCCCATGCGTGGACCAGTTCCTGTCAGATGTCCAGGGCCTGGCCAATGCCAAGAGGGCAGATAGAATGCTGGCCAGCATCCAACAGAAGGCCACGGATGTTTTCCGTCCCTTGGCTGCGCTCTGGGCGGCGATTGAGCAGGGCCGACCAGTCCAAGAACTGACAGAGCTTGTCCATATGGCAATCGTTATGCCGGGCGACGCCTCAAACGAGACACGCCATCAGCGCCTCATGGCAGCGCTGCCGAAGAGGTGCCCGAAGAGCCTACTGCAGGGCTTGCATCCTTCCGGCGATGGCTTTTCCCGTGAGTATAAGCGCAAATGCCAGGAAATGGATGTATTCCAGCCACGGGTTCCTGGGCGGCACAGGACCAGTCGCAGCCTGCCCGTCCTAACCGTTTTTCTGATCACTCCGTGTACCGGTCGGACTCAGTTTGGTTCCGCCCTTACGACAGGGCTGGACGAGGCCACGCCACCCGCAAGACTGAGAAGCTTTTCCGTCAGCCAGCAAAAAATCGGCCAAGGCCCGCCCTTTTGCAGGCGCCCTCGAGGTCGTTGACGACCTCCCCCGTGCCTGGCTGCCTCACAGAAACCCCTACCCCTAAGGTAGCGGGTCAATTGGACCATTGGTGGGTATGCCGGTATTAGTGTGGGGGACTGGGTGTGGATTATGTGAGGAATTCTGAGTCAATTCAACAGTAAAATGATGTCACCCTATACAAGTGGAATCCTGATAATACGAATATGGCTTATTAAATTCGAACATACCGATTTAATAATTAGAAGTTTCTTCCAGGACTGGTTTCCACCAATACGATCTCCACATAACCATGTCTGATAATTCGAACCTCAAACTAGCCATGTCTGATTAATTAGAAGTCCCACAGAATCCACGTACATAGAAAAAGTGTGGGATTTGTGCTGGTGCATAGCGCAACTCTGCGGGACAATGCGAGCCTTTCGACGTACATGTACATAATGTGTTGCGGGTACATGTTTGGATAATGAGAGGTATGCAGCATAGATGGCCGTCACCTTTTTGCGGGGCAAGTTGCTCCATACTTGGCAGGTACAACCCGTTCTTATAGTAAAAAAATATGAGTATAACCTTACAAAGTTCATGACCTTTTATGCAGAGCTAGCTGGTATCACAGTGTGTATGGTTGTAGTGGACTTGCCCCGCAAAACAGAATGGCGGGAAATCAATGCATACGTCCAAGAGTCCATAATCCCCCTGGAGTGCGCAACTGGGATGGGGTTGTGGGACGGCGTAATCCGTGATGTACGTCAAGTGCGCACTCTGCAGATCTGGGGAATTATGGACTCTTGATATGTCCCAATAGAATGTCCGGATAATTAGAAGTTTTTCCTGGCATTTTGGGGTTCAAGTGATCAGGATTGCACCTGCACAAGCAGCAAGACACCTCTTGACCTACGCGGTGCACGGAAAGTGGTCCGCTTTATTTTCTATCTAAAACGTTCAAAATTATGCAACACACGGCAAGCAGACAATGTTCTGGATTTTTTCTCACCTTCTTCCTGTTGGCTTGCTGCCGTTGGATGGCGAGGAAGAGGTGAAGCAATGAGCAAAGCAGCTGCTGCGACTGCAAGTAGACACTAGGATCAACATGGGAGGTTTTCTTCTTCAATGCCGATACCAGAGTGCACAGGGTGACAACTAACTCCACCTGCAAAACACACAGATACATATACAAGCAACACCAGAATAATTATATTCATTAGTTGAGGGAGTTTATTTTCTCTTTTTCTACGAGTGCCCACGGGCTCCAATCTGGTTAGAGTTGAGGAGCAAAAGGTTGGTGAGACCTAGTGCACTCGGCCCACCTGAGGTCTCAGCTTCATAGTGAGCTAGATGCACCACTATTAGGAAAAAAACAAGAGTTGAACATCAGAAAAGTTGTTTAAAGGGGAAGTTAAGGCAAAAATTAAAATTTCACCAGTTGTAGTCTTCGGGGTGCTGAGTCGAATGGTCTTGGTCCGAGAAAGCTGAGACGCTCCCTTCCTACTTGAATCCCAATCGAACTTGCGCACTTCCACCGAAACTGGGTGACTGCGCCCTACTAGATGGGGATTTGTATGCAAAATGTCACTAAAAGCGCCATTTCGTTCTTATAAAAGCACGGATGACCGCGATTGGCCCATATGTTGTAGTCTTTTGGACGCTGAGTTGACTGGTTTTGGTCCGAAAAGGCTGCGATGCAGCGTTCGCCCCTAGTTCCCAATCGAACATGGTTGAACAAGCGGTCACGTGCTCCTGCGTACACCAGTCACCTGGTCACCGTGCCTGCAGGGTACAACTTACAGCCTGTTTTGACCTTTTTTGGGTGCAGTCCTGTCACTCGAGTTGAACCTTGGTGTGAAAGTTGTCGCCTGCTGGCGTGGTGACCAGGTGATTTTGGCACCCAGGAGCACGTGACCGCTTCTTCAACCATGTTCGATTGGGAATAAAGGAGGAACGCTGCATCGCAGCCTTTTCGGACCAAAACCAGTCGACTCAGCGTCCAAAAGACTACAACATATGGGCCAATCGCGGTCATCCGTGCTTTTATAAGAACGAAATGGCGCTTTTAGTGACATTTTGCATACAAATCCCCATCTAGTAGGGCGCAGTCACCCAGTTTCGGTGGAAGTGCGCGAGTTCGATTGGGATTCAAGTAGGAAGGGAGCGTCTCAGCTTTCTCGGACCAAGACCATTCGACTCAGCACCCCGAAGACTACAACTGGTGAAATTTTAATTTTTGCCTTAACTTCCCCTTTAATAACTTCCAGTAGTAACATTACAAGTGAGAAAGGAGAGAAACCCGATCACACACACACTTGCCCATGCAAGTGCACATGCAGGGCGCTGATAAGCAAGCTCACGATTCTGATGCTAGCCACAGATACAACCCACTGAGAACAGATTGCTCACATTCACAAAGGAACTACTTGTAGTTTCCCAACACAAAGTGCTACACACACTATACTGTAAAAGCCATTATTCTAACGAGGCGCATATATAACGATTTCCCAAAATTGACAAGTTTACGTGTACCAAAAGTAACGATTCTCACTCATTCTCAACGCTCAATAGGACAATATAATGTATCAATTTCTGTATAACGATTTCTATTTTAACGACAGATTGCTCCTCGTTAACTCGTTAGAATTAGCACTTCGTTATAGATATGGCTTTTACAGTACGTAGAAGTAGGTATGCCATGAGCAAGCTGAACTATTAGCCAGCACAACACATTTATGTGTCAAAGCAGCCAGGGACAGCTATGGGCCCTATGGATAGGAAGCATTAAATCTTCACACCACATCCCCCCTGCACATGCACCCGCAAAAATATAGTTCTGTGTAAAGCTACTACAATATTAAATCGACGGGCCGCAAGTGCCGCCAGTAAGAAGAATTCTGCCCTTGTGAAGTATGTACTCACCAGTCTTTCTGCCCTATTCATGACCACAGGTGATAGCTGTGGACAGCTGGTCAAGCTATTGAAGCATGACAGAACGGCAGGCAAGTGGCCGGGCAGAGCTTCGCCAGCTAGCAACGCATCAACACCTGCAGTGATAGATCTGCAAATCACCTGAGCAACAAGAACACGCAGAGCACAGCTCTTAGGACATAATTCCCAGCAAATAAATCTGCACAGTTGACTGACTTCACTGTTTTGATTTAAATGCGAATGGGAAAGGCGTACTGTGACGCAATGAGTATTTCCATGTGGGTAAAGACCCGAAAGAAGACTGGTTGCAGCAATGCACCAATACATGTACAGAGGCGTCGGAAGGTAATATAGTGTGGTATGGTCAGCCATCTGAAATACAATTTACTCGTGAGGGAGGGGTGGCTGAGCAGAAAAGTTTGGAAATTTAGAGCCCAAATCAGTGCATTTTATTGAATCACGTGGTACTTGGGGCAAATAGTGGTACGGTCAATACCGTAGTGACCGTACCATGTGCGACGCCCCTGATGTACTATTACCAGGCAGCAATGGGAGTCAATTCAAAGCAAGTACACTGCTGCCCAATTAAATTCGATCTCACAAATAATATGCGCTCTGCACCTGTGCAAATCCCTGTGCTCCTTGACTCACGGGATCAGATTTCATTGAGCAACACTGCAGTACCTACTCCCTGGCTAGCATACACTTGCATAGTACGCGTACCTGTGCAGCGCGGTGCTTCACAAGTACTGGTGACACGGTCAGCTTCCCTTCCACGTCCCCACCGGACGACTGAGCATGCTGCAGTGCCTCGAGTGCTTCTTCCAAGAACGACCACAGTAGACAAACCTCCTGCCTGGGTGCAGAACAAGAACAGAGGAACAAATAAATACTTTCATAAACAACCCAAGCATCTTGTGTTACAGTAAAGCCAGAAAGATGGCTGGAGAATACCGACACTGATTTTACTAGTATTCTACGACACTACAACACATGGATGTGACGCTCATTCAGAATGATCGTGTTGAGTGTAGCTTACTCATCAAGGTTGGCTTTGGATGCATTGTCCAGCTGCGTGCACGTCCAGTCCACCAGCGACTGGTACTTGCCGCGCATGCGGCACGCTGTGCTCAGCCAGGCGTAGCGGGCCAGCTTGATCTTGTCGGCGATGGGCCGTCGCTCCTTGAAGATGGCCTCCGTAATCCGCATGGAGTGGTCCATGGCTCCTGCCTGCAAGCCAATCGTACGGAAGACAGTCACAGTATAATGAAATATAAAGCGAGAGAGCTATACCCATAAAACATGGAGCATAGCCTCACTCATGATGTTAGAAGAAGCTGTCAGAGCAACTTTGTAACACCCAACAATGTACTTCAACACCTACAATGCCACTACCAAAACAACGTTCAAGTAGAAATCAACTCGCTACCATTCTCATCTCCCTGAAAATCAACCCACATTTGCTGTGATATTTGTTTCAGTGTACCTGGCTCACAGAACGCCTAAACGACTAGACAGATGACAAGGGAGGGAACACAGACTTCTTCAACGACGGTGCTCTTCAGCACAGTTATCAGTGAGCTCCATGTGGAAAAGAGCTAAGCCATCGTGACGACAGGGGAAATATAGCTGTTACTTGACTGTGAAGAGACTTCAAAGTGCAATAATAGCATAGCACTGATATCTACACATGTGTTTGCACAGAGAGTAAAGCAAGAACTGGGGAATGGTGAAAATTCACGCAATTTATTACACAAGGGTGATATAGGAATGTAGGTCTGAGGGAAATGAAGGGGAAGAAACAATCTGAACGCAAATGCACATGGGACAACACGTGCCACACATACTGATAGCACTTAGGTACTCTTCTGCGTCTGTCTTTTTTCCCTCCTCTGGGGGACCAACCACGGTCAGTTTTTTTCTTCAAATTCACTGCAAAAAAGTCATTCTTTCTTGGCAGTTCACTTCCCTGCCTGTTCACATTGATTTTGAACTTTTCCCTATCATAAAACTCACTCTATGAAATATTATTTTTACGTCTACTGAATCATATCCATTGCCAAGATGACATGTAATATTATCTCGTCTGTGACAATTATTAGAGTGGCATGTCTTACAGTGCACAGTTGCCAGTACTGCCTGTCAATTAATTCGTATTATAAACTGTATTTACAAGCTATTAGGGTACCCCGGCCCCACTTCGACCCTGCGTACACACCTACTACCCGTCATAACGTGTGCCCATTGTTCTTTTTCTTCTAGTATTCTAGTATAGGAAGTTCTGAGATTTTCAAAAGACATTATGTCGTGCACTCAGAAAAGAGACTTGCAGCCAGTAAAGTTTGGAGTTGAGAAGTGAAGATTCCTAAAAGTGAGTAAAGGAATACAATTATTGTACTTGACTCATCTGTGAACAGTAGCTAACCAAAGTGCTGGTTGTAAGCGCCACACCATCAACAGACACAGTAGGACATAGTACATGTACTTCCTCTCCCAATGAAGTCTGCAGATCTGCAAGTAATTGTGTAAATATCACCAAATTTAACTCGCAATCAAGTTGAACTTACCAGCGCTACTTCTCTCCGGCACTTGGAGTATTCAAAACCTCTGCATCGGCTCCACAATAGCTACAGTACACTGGTGAACTCTGGTTCGTGCAACTCCTGGCTTGTCTTGCTGTTCGTGGAACTGCTGGCAGTGAAAATACTATCAGACGAAATCTCCTGCAAGTGTAATAAAAAAATTAATGTGGAGTGAAAACGAAAAAAAATGTTTATATTCCGGCCACGTGCCACGTGCATGCCATGGCCATGCACGAGAGATCACGTGCACATCTGAAGATTATGTGCATGCACCGCGTACCGCGCCGACCAACCAGCCAGCGAGTGCCAGACTAGATCGGACCGCAGAGTTTCACGACTCCATGACGACGAGTAGAGATCTACGCGTAGATCTGCTGCAGTACGAGCGTAGATCTACGAGTACTGGGTAGATAAGACAAGAAGAGTGGGCTTTTGCTATGGCCTTCTACCATGTCTACCTATACCACTACTGGCACTAGTTCTACACTGACAGTCCATTTCAAAACTATAGACGCGTAGTGTTTTACAAAATTCGATGGGATTTATTTAAAGGGGAAGTTAAGGCAAAAACTAAAATTTCACCAGTTGTAGTCTTCGGGGTGCTGAGTCGAATGGTCTTGGTCCGAGAAAGCTGAGACGCTCCCTTCCTACTTGAATCCCAATCGAACTTGCGCACTTCCACCGAAACTGGGTGACTGCGCCCTACTAGATGGGGATTTGTATGCAAAATGTCACTAAAAGCGCCATTTCGTTCTTATAAAAGCACGGATGACCGCGATTGGCCCATATGTTGTAGTCTTTTGGACGCTGAATCGACTGGTTTTGGTCCGAAAAGGCTGCGATGCAGCGTTCCTCCTTTAGTCCCAATCGAACATGGTTGAAGAAGCGGTCACGTGCTCCTGGGTGCCAAAATCACCTGGTCACCACGCCAGCAGGCGACAACTTTCACACCAAGGTTCAACTCGAGTGACAGGACTGCACCCAAAAAAGGTCAAAACAGGCTGTAAGTTGTACCCTGCAGGCACGGTGACCAGGTGACTGGTGTACGCAGGAGCACGTGACCGCTTCTTCAACCATGTTCGATTGGGAATTAGGGGCGAACGCTGCATCGCAGCCTTTTCGGACCAAAACCAGTCGACTCAGCGTCCAAAAGACTACAACATATGGGCCAATCGCGGTCATCCGTGCTTTTAGAAGAACGAAATGGCGCTTTTAGTGACATTTTGCATACAAATCCCCATCTCGTAGGGCGCAGTCACCCAGTTTCGGTGGAAGTGCGCGAGTTCGATTGGGATTCAAGTAGGAAGGGAGCGTCTCAGCTTTCTCGGACCAAGACCATTCGACTCAGCACCCCGAAGTCTACAACTGGTGAAATTTTAATTTTTGCCTTAACTTCCCCTTTAAATCATCCTGTTCTTTGTAAACAAAAGAAGCATGTAGTCGCGCTAAAGTTGTTCTCGTAGCTGGTTATCAGATGTAAATGTTGTGTCATGTTGCACTGTATCACCTCTTGCTTTGTGGCTGCACTCAGTTATATACGTTAGCACTATGTTTGACACCTATTATGTAATGCTGTAGCACTTCCTTTGTTGTTCACACTTTTAATTAATTATGCTGTTATAAAATGTTCTATTGTTGTACACAGTACCCTCAGTTCCGATACTATTCACTGATGAGCGGAACACGAAAATCGATTTTGAATAACATAAAAATCCTTAAAAATTCCATGAACTCGTTGTTGTCTGGCCATGTCTGCATCGATTATACTCCTAATTGCACTAATTTATTTAAATATTAATTTTTTAGTTTTTTCTCCAGATTCCGTCTCTGCATCGCTTCACAATTCTGGCTATATACATGTACTTTGTTTTCGCTACAATTGAAGTTTATTTTTAGGCCAGGTTTTCCGGTTTTACATGTAATTTCTGTTTTGAAGGGTTTGACCAGTTTGTTTTAAGGGTTTGACCAGTTTGTTTTAAGGGTTTGACCAGTTTGTTTCGGATTTTTGCTCCTGCTGAGACAGTGCTGCGCCCAGACCATCGCGGGTGCATTTTTGTACGGGTCCTGGTAGCCTCGTGGTTTCGATCCGTGATTTCCAGTAGTGCATGCAGTACAAGTGTGGGGCATTCGAATCCCATCACGCCTCCTGCCTTTTTTTCTCTTCTTTTCTGCATGTTTTGGATCTTGTTGGGTGAAATACAGTAGAGATGATAATTATATTTTCTCTTTTTGATTTGATTTGAGCCTCCCTGTTCCCTTCGCCTGACACAACGAGTGACAGTGGTTTCACTCACGCCAGTTGCAAGGTGAGTTCGACGACGAGGATTTCGGATACTCAAGCGTCAATCAAAATCCAGCTCTTGTTCGAAGAAACAATGAACATGACTAATCATATCTTTCTCGGCATCACTGAGATTCTTACGGGCCTTGGAAGCCATTACAGTCACGCACTCAGAAAATGCAAGCAAGAAGATTCATTTGAGGCTTTCATTTCTTTTGAGACTTTCCTCACACCTTTTCATTTGCGACTTTGCGTGTTTTGCATCTTTTGTATTTCCCGCGGCGACGAAGAAAAACCTGAAAAACACATCTGAAAACCAGAAAACACTCATGCAAAACTCACGGCTGTCGTGCGCTACAGTACGTACGGCTCGTACGTATGAGTTCACGCGTCTATAGTTTTGAAATGGACTGTAGTTCTAGCCTGGGCCTGCTAACCGGATCATCCGATCCGGAGACAGAAGAGCTATTTTAGTATTGAGTATCGACTATTGTAGATCTACCATGTTTTGTTAGCGAAGGTGAGACAGAGAGTTTGAGAAACATGCATGATTGTCCCCCCCCCCCCCAGAAAAGTACCAAAATTTATATTCTGTCCGTTTTTCTGCCATGACTCCCAACACGGTCTGGCCTTGCACGTGCAACTGCATTGGTGAATGACGCAGCTATTGCATGTACATGTAGCATTCCACTAGACGCAAGGAGCCAGCGTCACTGAGTGCTACCAGTACTGGCAGTGCCAGTAGGCAGGCTAGAGACGTCTCCTACAGTCAAACTCCGCCTTCAAGTCAGACAAGTCAGACAGAGAGACACCAGTCACTTGTCACTTACTACATACAGACCAGCACGGTCTTCATGTCTTCGCCTTACATACGTGGCACTCAATCTGTCTACGCGGCTGGTGGTCGTTTCAGCCAGTCGTCACACCCAGTGCTCTGCCATCAAAGTCATACAGGGCGCTTTGACGTCCCAGCTAACTCCAGACATTCGGAAAGAGTTCTTTCCGTGAGCTGTGAGCCGCACGTGGCTGGACCATTCGCGTGATTCGCATGGTTCGGGGGCATTTGCACATCTAAGAGACGTGAATCGTGACGTTGACCCTCTTTTCCTGCACGCCATGCACTCCACTTGAAAAGAGGCATTGATCCGGCACCAACATTGGCCCACGACTTTGGCCGGCTCATTTGCTCAGCCGGGTGAAGAAAGGAGAGCTAGAGGCGGATCACCACTGGTGGAAGGCCGCTTGGTTTGCTCAGGGCAATGGCGGACCCACCGCGATTGGCTCCGCCACCAGGCCGTGGCGTGGCCGACGTGGGCGCGCAGCTCCAGCAGATGGGTTTGTCGGAGGGCGATGCGCAGAAGCCTCTTCCACAGGACTTCGTCTGGGGCCCGGAGCCAGACGACCTGGACGCTGAGCTGGCAATGGTTGAGAAAGAGCTGCAGCAACTCAATGAGCTCGAGCTCTCCATGAACCAGGCAGTGGACGTTCATGTCGGCAGCGATCCAGTCTGGGCAATGCAGCAGTCGTTCGAACAGTTTCCCAATTACACGGTAAGTGGGACTGATTTCACAGATCCTGGATCGTGGAGCTTTGCTCGTTACATGGCCGCGTCATGTTCTTCCAACAGTTTAGCGGCAGTCATTGAAGGAGCTCGGGGTTGGGCCAGAGAGCGACAGTTGCCTGGATCGGGCTGTGCACCGCATTACCCCTGCGACCTCGAAGTAGATGGCCGCAGAATGAATCGTTCGCATGCGCAGTCGGCTCGTCAGTCTCTGACTCTCATGTGTGTGCATCATCCTGCAACAAAAGTGCAAGTGAAATGAGAATCTGGAAATCTTCAGTGATCATCGAAACCAGTAGCACAGAAAAGCATAGATCCACGGCCTTACAGATGAGATATTGTGCAGGATCATTGTGATCAAGCATTGAGCAATGGGTGAACAGTCGAGTCACTGATACCAGGTAGCGCTGTGGAGGTGAAAGTTGATCATGCGTATGATCGGCCTACTATGTAGTGTGTGGGTGATCTATGCCTACATCAGTACATATCTCCCAGTGAATTTCACCTACTCAGTACCTCTGCCAGATAGCCTTGACCAATACTAGACTCATGATTGCTAGGGAAGTACCATGCATGCAAGTAAGTTTGCAGCAAGAAAAAAGTAGCGCCGTGACTCCCGGGAAAAGAACAAGGTTTAAGCTCCTCAGTGCAATCACCATCTTCAAACCGTTTCCACGAGTACTTTCATTGCCTTCTCATCGAATGCAAGCCAAAAAGAAACTGAACGCACACGAATGCTGTGATTTTATACGGCAGAGAACTGAAAGAAACAGCGCAAAGAAGAGTAGTGACATACAACACGGTAAAAATGCGACATAACTTCAAAGTTCATACACATGGAAAGCATGAGTCCATTTCCAGTCCTTCACCCCTTGCAGTACAGTCAGTGTACTAGTCTTACCTACATGCAGTTACTTTCCACACCACAAGCCGCTTGTGCATATCATAATAATTATGATATGATATGCACACACCCGCGAATTCTAGTAATAGGGCTGGAAAGTGATGACGTCAAAAACGGCCAGGGAGTACTAAGTTGACATCAGATTTCTATTTTGGATCCACAAAGGTGTGACTTTGCTATTGCCTCAGTATGTGGGTGCATAGCAACCCACTCATGTCGTATGCAGGGGCGACTTCGCCACCAGTTGTAACCCCGCCCCCAGCAGCCAAATCAGTCAGTTTCACTGGTTACATCACCTTGCTGTGAGTCAGACGGCTTGAAATGTGCTCGGATCCATACAAAAACTGGATCCAAGTGGATCCAATTTTTGAATTGTTGAAATTGTTGCTATGCTGTGACGTAGCACTTTCAAGCCATACTTCACCTGGACTCAGGAGTGACATAACCTCACACAGCCACCTACCTCATCTTCCCTGGCTCCTGCATCTGGCACCTACACTACAGTACATTGATAGTGGCCACATTATGTACCAGTAACCTCAATCTCATCATCGCCGGCATACATTTTTGATTGCACCCACTCAATACATAAGCATGGGATAGCCTGATTTCATCCTCTGCTGCAGTCGGATGATCGCTTTTGGCATGAAATTTGAAGGAGTGGCAACATTCGTCAAGTCCTTGCTCATGTGTGAAGCGCTCTGTCACCATCATAGGCATTGAGCACCCGTACCCTGCACCGCTAACTGGAAAATTGTGAGGTTTAGCAGGAATGCCACAAAGGCGAACTCAGTGTGAAGAAGCCAACCGGCCAGCGTGTTGTTTCTGGCTACTCTTCTTTGCGCTGTTCCTATCATGTCTCTGCTGTCTACAATTCATTGTGTTCAGTTTCTTCAAGTTTGCCTGTATTCAACCTGATGCCGAGAAGGCAATGGAAGTACGCGTGGGAAAGTTTAGAACATGTTGATCGTGGGAAGCCTGAAGCTTATTCTTTCATGAGTGCGATTACACTTTTGCCTCCAAGAAAACGACTCAGTGCAGTATAGACTATAGGCATTGCTAACATATCGATGCGCAAAGCGTTGGCGTCGGTTTGTTGGATATGGCTAAGAGACGGGCTCAAACGAATCCATTTGCAGCGCATTGTATGCCTCATACTTAGTAACTATACTGCTATATTGCAAATGCAAGTGCAATTATTGGTACCAGCTGTATTTCTGGTGTGACTGTACCTACGTTCACAGATGTCCGATGGCGCCATTCCAGCAAACTACGGTGCGCTGGCAACCAACACGGCAGCACTGACGATGCAGGGAGGTGGACAGCAGGCTGCTGGCCAGGCTGCCGGACAAGGAGGAGGTAACTGCAGGAGCTTAGTGCATGATGCGGTCACTATCAATTCTCATTGGGTAGATCAGATTCCAACATGCAGGTATTTAGTATTAAATTTTACTATTTATGTCATGCATTTAGGTGCCGGGCTGGTAAACACTGCGATTCAGCATATCATGAGCTATACAAATAAGATGCTCTGGCATGATAATTTCTGGTATAGGGATGACAGTGAGAAATACCATCTCAGTGATGCAACAAGATGAAGACACACACACACCTCAGACCTCAGACATGCCCATCGCGGAAGCGATGATAGCGAACAGCTATGTTAGACATAGCAACTTGTGCTGGGATTACACCATTCAACAGCTTGCAAGGCTGATGAATTGACCGCCACTATTTTTAGCCTGGTATCCACCACACAGCTGTTTGAAGTGACTTTTTCTGGCCAGTGAATCCCTATTTTTCATTTCAATTTTTTTTTTTTCAATTTTTTTTTTACACACACACACCACACCACATACTCCGGCATACACTGGCTGTTGGTAACCACCCAGGAGAATGAAAGAAAAGTCAAGAAGAGTCCGAGAAAGAGAAGAAAGACGTGTGCGACCATAATCGTCGGGAATTGAACCCGCAACCTCTCGATTGGAAATCGACTGCACATACCACACACACACACACACACACACACACACACACACACACACACACACACACACACACACACACACAGGAATTACATGTACTATTATACAAATGAGAGGTCCTCCGTCGGGCTCGGTAGAGTGCTCAATATTCGTTCGAATAGAGCTATCGTTGTAGACACGTCACAGAGTACCACACATCATTCGTTGTAACTAAAAATAGTTTCATGTCCATAGGCAATCTTCAGACAACTGACATACATGTTCTAGGGTGTAAGACACGAAAGTCAGCGATAGAAATCCGTGAAGTTCAATTGCCATGCTGCCATTGTCCGGTGCAGGTGCTTGGCTGGAGTTTGAGAGCCCGTTTCAGGCTAGTGGAACACATCCAAGTTCTCCCAATCCATACCAGCAAGCACGTAAGTCTTGACTTAAAGGACCTATGCATGATTGTGTATATGGGGTACAACTGGCAAAATAATCAGTAGGCTCGATGAGCCATGGGGAAGTTGGTTTGCCAAGAGGATGGCTGGAGGAGGGGGGGCATGAATAATGATCCTTCTCTGAACCATGGCATGATGTATGTAATCGAGCACGCTCCGGAGGGCAAGAGTCAGCCATCATGATGGACAGGGCGTGCTTGATTTGATTTCTTACAACATCGTCGGAAAGGTCAAAGGCTGAAAGGTCGAATTATTCCCATAATGACGTCAAAAGGTCCTGACGGCCTGATTATGCCCGCGGCGGGAAGGCCGCCTATTGCAGTATTGACCGTGGCCTGGGTAACGGCCATGCGTCCTGTAAGACAACTTTATTGTAATTTCAAGTATTCCTCACTGGTGGTCATTGCCATGACTGTACCTTCAAAACAATGTGATCACACCTGTCACAGGTGGTATGGACACCCCAAGAACTCTTGGCCGTATGCACACACTACATCATGTGTACAATAGCTGGTCATAGATAGCAGCAAGCTTGATTTTTCAACCTACCGGTATTGACGTAAATACAGTACAGGGAATGTGGATCTGCTACTGTACGGTCGACCGGTCCATGATGATGTTGCCCACTTTTTGGGTAAATGTTATTATACTCCCCTTTGGATGCCCTTTGCAGCAATGCAACAACCAGCTCAGGCTGCTGCGCCTGCACCTGCCCAAGTTACGCCATTGCCGAAGCCAAGTGGCCCGGTGCCAGCACAGGGCACTCACAAGGCTGTGTTCCGCTTCATCCCACGCCATGGCGACGAGCTGGACATGAAGCCGGGAGATCCGATTGCAGTGCAGAGCCAGGCACCGGACCTATGGTTTAGCGGCTTCAACCTGCGAACGGGCCAGAGCGGCATCTTCCCAGGACATTGTGTGGGCGATGTCAAAAGTCGTGGACCCACACAGCCCGGGCCGAAAATGAAACCGGCTCGCTTCCGTGTCAGGTGGGTCATTTGCAAATAGGACAATGACACTGACCAGAGTCTCATCTTTTAAATCAACCAGCGTTATTCACAGCTGCCCGGACTGTTAGCGGGTGAACCTTGAAGTCGGTAGCATACCATTAGTACTCTTCCAGAAAATACTCAACTTCCAGCAGGCTAAGCTGCGTTTCACCTAGCCTACAGCTATGGCTAGTACAATCACATGTACTTGTTCTTGTATGCATAGTGGTGGCACTGCAGGGTGCCATACTCACTGCAGGATGCCATACTCACGGCGGGGATGGAAACATGTGTCTACGTGGAAGCTTTAAAAAGCGATCGAAGCAGCTGCTGCCGGTCACAGATTGAATTTGACCATTCTGGCGTGGAGGGACCAGACATTCTCTTGTGCCCGAGTGCACAGTCCGGCATTCATGCCACTAAGATTGCATGCACAAGAGTGACAAGACCTACAGTTGTGTAGTGATAGCGGCTTGCACTCTGCAGGCATGCAACTCCAAGCACTCGGTGGTCTGGTCGACTTTAAAGATGACCTGGCCAGTGCGATATGATGGGTCTGTCGATAGCAACTTTGAAAAAACTTGAAGTGGTCCAGCGAAGCCTGCTCAGGCAGACCGGCTGATGCTGGTACACTATGGTTGCTTAGGTCTCATTTCTTGCACTGGCCGGCTATGGCTTCTAGGTTTGATCCGAGCAATATTCTAAGCTGATTTGTTTGCCCTCTCCTTGACCCTCATCTTCCCGAGATCGGAAGGAATCAGCCGACCCTGGTTTTGCCGTTTGTGTGCGTGTGTGTACCCGGAATCCTCAGATTCCTTGGAGCAGTGCAAGTCAACTCCCACAAAGGCGTCGATCTCCTCTGCGCAGCAGTTCAAAAGGTAAGTGGTACACATACCTTCCCCCCTTTCCCACCCTATTGTTACTGGATTGGTTTTGACCGGAAACAACACATCTTTGTCGTCCTGGTTCTATGTGTTCTCTGAGACAAACGGCTACTGTTTAATAGTAGCCGTGTTAGCTGGATTCTCTTGACATAGTTTGCTATAATGATTGGATTCCATTGCAACTCCGAGTTTCTACCCGATCCACTCATCATCCATCCTCTTATGTTCGTAATTCCTTTCTTGGCATTTTGCGCTGGTTCTCTTTCAGGTTATGGAATGGAGAAAGAAGAGGGACGTCGGCCCAATGAAGCCAGTCGTCCTGGAGATCTCGGCGCAAGGACTCAAGATGAAAGACATCTCTGACAGCGACGAGAAATACCAAGAAGAGGTATAGAGCTGAGTCTAGGCTGTAACAAAATTGCATTGTACATACACCAATCAATTGGTTACTGTCATAAAATAAAAGCCTTACGACACGTATAGAATTTGGTGATTGGCACACAGAGGACTTCAGATGCATTGCTCTAGATGGTTGTATAGTAACACCTGCAACTAAAGACCACCGTGACTAGCGACCAGCCTGGTACTACAGTAAAACCTGTGACTAAAGACCACCGTGACTAGCGACCAGCCTGGTACATGTACTACAGACCACGACTTAGCCAGGCACGGACGGTCTCACATTCATAATCTAATATAATGGTTGTGCGGTGCAAACCTCTAACTAAGGACCGCCTGCCACTACAGACCGCTTTCTCTGGCCCCAAGGGGTGGTCGTTAGAGACAGGGTTTACTGCACATGTACGCAGATTTCCACAGGTAAACTATCTCTGCCTTGTCTGTCCGATCTTTGCTTTTTTCTCAATGTGCTTTCTGTTGCTTTGTTGCACCTTGCAGCGGCGTCAGAGTATCCAGAAGAAGAAGAACTTCGATGTCGATTCAGTGAGTGGAGAGGAACAATCCGTAGCATCAGATCTGATTAGGTCCTAGATCAAGATCATGAGACTAAATCTTGACCATTATGTTGTTACACGATAGTGGAGCAGTAGTGGCACAGTTTGGATGGAACCCATGCTTCCTATGCAGTATGGGAGATCTGTTTTAGTGAGGACGAGCTTGCGGGCCATCACAAATCTTTCGCCCGTGGCACAGTGCAATGCATGTATGGACAAGGAACTGAAAATGCACATGGAGAAGGAGAGGGGGGGGGGGGGGTCAACCCTTCTCGAACCTCTACCAATCATGAAAATAGCATGGACCTAGGTCTGCAGCTGATATGGAAGAGATAGCGATACAAGTACTGATGAATGAATGATCACTTGAAATGACTCTGTTTACCTCTGTTTACCCAGCCTCCCCCCGCCCCCCCCCCCCCCCTCACTACCACCAACGCACATGTGTATACTGTAGCAATGCCTATACATATAATTATGGCTTCTGGTTCCTGCTCCAAGTCGAAGATACTGACTACTATAGTGATCAGAATCTGATGACGAATCTGATGACGAGGGGGCCGGGAGGGGCAGGGGACCACAACATCACACACATCTATTGTTACTGCTGGTTACGCTCTGAAGTGCTCTCTACTGTCCAATCCTCCGTTGTGCACATTGTGTGTGTATGCAGGATGGTGGCATCAAGAAGTTCTTCTTCCCACTCGTCAGTGTGACATTCTGCTCATGTCACCCAAAGAACAATAGGTATGGCTTGGTGATTCTTGCTTGGCTCAAAATGTGTTTGTGCTATCTATACTGGGGCCTGTCTTGGTCACAAGACTCTGTACTTTGCCTTTGCTTAAAGGTGCATGTACTGCATTCAATGATACACGGTGAGTCTTGCCGGAAACAAATCGTGAGAAGCATTGCACTTGTAGGTTAGAGCTAGCTACATAAGCATTGCTATGGACGTTAATTGATAGCTTGCATGCCGTCCTACCGGTAGGACCACGGGTCCTACCGGTAGGACCCAAGAGATCAAGCTACAAAAGGGCTTTTGGTTGAGAAATTCTTGAAACAATTGTGGAAATGAGGTCTTTGTCAGGAAAAGTAATGGCGCAAAATTGCGGCAAAATGCAAGGCTATGTCCAGTGCATTGCGTATGCGCAATTTTATCGATTGTCAGAATGGCCGCACATAATCCTGTCGGTGCGCTAGCAACTCTGTCCAAAGTGAATTTTGACCATGGCACATCAATCGTGGTGAGGTCCTAATAGCCATAGGCGGACTATGCTCGGCCAATCGTCAAATTATGCTTTTGATTATGCCACATGCCAACAAATATGCTGAATTATGCTGAATTATGCTCGGTTCCACTATGTATTCACGCTGTACATAGAGGATTGAGAAACCACGAATACACACACGGGCCACGGCCATGCCCTAAGCATAATTTTTGTCTATTAAAACCGAAAGATTATGCCGACCTTACACGTTGGAATCCGTATATTATGCCGGAGCATAATTTTTGACGAAATCCCAAGATTATGCCAAATATTATGCCGGCATAATAAGCCAAGGGCTATGACAAGGAGTCATAACTGGGGTATTTAAAAAAACACATCTGCAGGCTTTCTGACAAAGCTGTATTATGCCCCAAAGCATAATTTTTGTCTAAACCGAAAGATTATGCCGACCTTACACGTTGGAATCCGTATCATGCCGGAGCATAATTTTTTGACGAAATCCCAAGATTATGCCAAATAATATGCCGGCATAATCTGCCAAGGGCTAGGTCCTAATGTTTTTGTTAGCTTGCCAAGGCAGTGGAATGCATAATTCCATACACCGTTTCCATGGTTACCATGGGCTGTTACCATGGAATTTTGTAGTATGCCTTGTGCGATCACGTCTAAAATTCGTGGACTCCTTCATTAGCCCCTGAGCAACAGTTTAGGGTCAAGTTTTAGATCAATGTTAGAACAGAGGCCATGCAGCATGTCTGTGTATGATGTTGGACTTTGTACAGTAATCAGATGGCCCATTGGCGTGTGTTTGTTCTGAAGTAGTTGTTAAAAAATATGGGATATCTATGGTGGAACATACTGTGACAGTGCATGCAGGAGGGGCAGTATCTCTGTAATAGGTGATACTGCATTTAAAATTTATTGTGACTGTGGGAAAGTGCCCGGGTATGGCCGGGGTGAATACGCCGTGCATGCATGCTGACTACTGTTGTCTGACGCGTGCGGCAATTTTTGTATACATGTATAACGTGTGTCCTTGTATGCACGCGTGTATGTTCATCTTCTTGTCAGGCTCTGGGCATTCGTCAGCCGCCGTAAGGACAAGGTCTTTTCCTGCCAGGTGTTCGCTGCGTCACAATCAACACAGCCACTCACTGTTGCAATGGGGTAAGTTTTGCAGTTATGAAGCTATGAGTATTTTGCTCTTGTAAACTTCGTTCTGTAGCGCGGGCTTCATTGAGCAGTCTTGCCTTAGCGCAAACATTTTGCCATTAGCCTTGTGCAGGCGCATACCCTTACAGACATTTGTACACTCTGGTATCATTCACAATTCTTTACATGAAACTGCTTTTGTCGTACCAAGAGTCTTAGACGAGTGTTGTTGTAAAGAGATGCGATCTAGTTCTCTGGACTGTGCAAAGAGCCCAAATATGGCAATTGTTTGTCCACAGATGAGTGTACACTGTGTGGGTGGCGGGGTGTCCCGTATCGGCATGGTGACGATGTTGAACAGCCTATGACCTTCACGTTTGATGTTGTTGATTTTCCCGTGTTATGCAGACGCGCATTCAAGCAACTCCATACCGACTTTGTGCAACATGCCACCCAGGAAGCACGCAGCAAGTAGACAGCTGGCACTGGCAAACCAATGCAGTACACAGCGTGCTCTGTGTGTCTCGTGAATCTATAAAATGCTGAGTGTCTGCCCCACAAGTGCATGTAAATTATCCCTTGTTTCCTTCCTTCTTACAATACCTTCATGTTAGCCTGCTCCGGAATTGTGCTTACGTTTCCATGCGGTTTTTGTTTCAGCCTTTTTGCTCACTCTATCTTTAAAAAATTAAGGCCTGCTTTCAATAATACTAAGTCTAACTAGTGGGTTTCAATCATTTCCATTTCCACCTATTTAACATGAACAGATCTGTTGGTCTCGAATGATAACGTTAGTCTGCCAGTCATCATGACCATGATGCACAGTGGATGCCTGTGTGTGTGTGTGTGTGTGTGTGTGTGTGTGTGTGTGTGTGTGTGTGTGTACGCATGTGTGTGTGTGCATGTGTGTGTGCACGTACATGTGTGCACGTGTGTGTGGGTGTGCTTGTACATGAAGAGGGCTATACATGGCTATTGTGGTCATTCATAAAATTATAATAACTTGGCATACGTGGTGTCACGTAGTCATGCCCAGACATAGCCATCTGACCTCTGCACTGGCTGCACTTTCCCCACAATCTACACTAGTACTTTATCAGAAGAGCAGCTGGAGACGAGTGTGGGTGTGGTTAGAACAGAGGGCAAGCAGAAAAACTCAAGCAATGAGGATGAGGTTACTGAGGAAGTACATCGCCGCGGCTTACTTTAACAATTGCGACGAGTGACATCATATACTTGCCCCACAGGGGAAAGCACCACAGCTAGACTGCAGTGATGGAAGACCATTCGATTTCACGACGTGGAATTGCGAAATGACCCAAAACTATCTCAGGCATGGCAAGTTCCTGGCGTAACACAAATCTCAATTATTTCATTTTCCAAACAAACTGTAGCGTCTGCGCACATGCATTCATCGGTAAAGAAAAGAAGAGCCGGCATTTTTGCCCTTTTGAGGGCATGTGTCAACCTCCATCACAGAGATAAATTTCAGAATCGGAAACATCATTGCAAGAACTAAATGTAGTTTTGTAAAATATTCCTGGCCAGCAACATATCGTATACTCCAGCTGGTGGTTATTAAAATTCTGGACACCTATAATAATGGTTCAAGTCACTGATGTGCAGGTCAGAGCATGGTCGCTTCTAGTAGCGTTGCTCTCGGAGATAATCGCCTAGCTTCTCCACAACAGCATTGCACGATCCAGGCTGTATGCCATTCTCGTAGTAACCGACTATGAGTGCCGTCAGGGTCTTGCAGATGCACACGCCAGAGTCAGAGCCCTTGCGTCCGTACAGGGCCGACTCACCACTGCGTCTCAGGAAGACGAAGCGCGTACCGGCCACGACTAACCCGCTGCTGTACAGATCCTCGGGATTCTGATAGGCGTTGCGCAACACCCCCACCTCTTTCTCAGACACCTGCAATGACAGCATATAGTGAGCCGTGGAGAACCGAGAATCATGAGAGGGGAGAGAGAGAGAGAGAGAGAGAGAGAGAGAGAGAGAGAGAGAGAGAGAGAGAGAGAGAGAGAGAGAGAGAGAGAGAGAGAGAGAGAGAGAAAGAAAGGGAGAGGGAGAAGAAGAGAGAGAATGGATTGTGATGCTAATGCCAACTAACGTTACGTGGAGGTTGCAAATGTGGAGGTTTTTATAGAACAACCGCTAATGATGGCTAGTTGGGAAAGGATATAGAAATTTAAAAAACCCTCTACAAGCAAGGTATCATAGGTCTTCATTCATGATTTACAAACTCATTGGTTAGTGTACCTTTTAAAAAAGGCGTAAACTCAACACCCCAAACTGGTTTAGCCTGGCATAGACCAAAATCCATGGCGGGAAGCAGTTTATGTGTGTGTGTGTGTGTGTGTGTGTGTGTGTGTGTGTGTGTGTGTGTGTGTGTGTGTGTGTGTGTGTGTGTGCGCGCGCGCGCCGCATGCATGCGCAAAGTATACACACCTATTGACTAATGGACTGCTTCTGGCTAGATTAGCTCTTGTGTAATCAATGGTGCTAGTAAAGCCTACATCAGGTCAACTCTGATCTAGCCACCCACACTAGCCACCCACACCGGCACCCACACTAGCCACCCACACTAGCCACCCACACTAGCCACCCACACTAGTACTAGCAAGTATTACTTTTCCCGGCTGGGGGCAGGGGTAAATGCAGTTGGATCCCAGGACGGATACTTTGATGCTGTCAATCCCTTTTCTGCACCGGCTAAACCCTATATAGTATAGAGGTCATCAGTTGAGATGCTTTGGCAAAGTCACGGCACAGCAATGCAAGGCACTAGCATAAGCCGCGCAGCTGACTCGCGCTCAGTGTACATAGTGCTGATAAGAGGTTCCACTGACTCACCGTCATGACATTATTCGTATAACCTGTAGAGTTACTTATAAGTGAGGGCTACTGTACAGTTGAGTAACTTACTACTACTACTAGTACTGATACTTTACCAACATCTTCTACTTATAGGTGGGGAGTTTTCGAGCATTTTACCTGGTCCTGGAATCTATCTTTTTTATTTTTTTATCAGTTTTTTTTATTTATTACAGCATCTCATAGCACAGTGAGAACACCGGCCAATACAAAGAGAGAGGGTGTTAGCCAACCACGGCAAGGCAGGGAGAAGGGGAGGAGAAGAAAAAGGAACCGGCATGGATAAGCAGTGATTGCAACCAAATCAGAAACACAAAATCAAAATCAAGGCGCGACAAGGCTCTTAAAAAGGCGGAGGGAAGAAAGGTCCTTAGCTTCTTGGGGAAGTGCCAGCCACGCAGAGTACGCAATAAAAAAGGGAGAGTGAAGTAGAAAGGAGGACTTAGGTTTCGGAAGGGAAAGGGAGTTTCTCGTGCTACGGGAAGAGAACCAGTTGAAACAGTGGAGGTGAGGTGGACACAGATTGAGTTTGAGAGAATGGATAAGGGTGACAAGATGTGAATTACGTCTCTTAGACAAAGGGGAAGTGTCAGCAAGGGCATAAAGGGTGGAAGATGGAAGCATGCGGGGTTTTCGGAGGAGGATTTTGAGGACTTTTATGTGTTGAATCTCGAGCTTGGCAGCACGGGTTGTGGAAATTCCAGCCCAAGCAGTATCTGCATAATCAAAAATGGGGCGTAAGTAAGCTGAGTAAAAGAGGAGTTTACAAGAGATTGGGAGATGGTAACAGTGAGAAGAGAGAATTCCTAAAGATGAACTTGATCGTTTACATATTATGTAATCGATGTGGGGTTCCCATGAAAGATTAGAGTCAATGAAAATGCCAAGATGCTTATGGCTGGAGACTATGTCTATAGGCTGGGGGAAAGTGGGATGGAGGAGGGGCGGAACATCGGGCTGAGAAGGAAAGAGCATGATTTTAGTTTTAGACAGATTGGGCGATAACCGCCAAGACGACATCCAGAAAATAACTCTTTGAATCCCGTTAGCTAGGTTACTCATCAGGCCAGTGATGTTAGGAGATGCCCGTAGGAGCGTTGTGTCGTCTGCGAACAGTGATGTGCCCGGGGCAGCTGCGGGCAGATCATTGACGTATAAAATAAAAAGAAGGGGGCCGAGGATGGAACCCTGGGGAACTCCGGATAGTACTGTTGTGTCGGCCGAGGACGTCCCATGTACCGTGACGTACTGCGTTCGCCCAGTTAGGTAAGATGTCAGCCATAGCAGGGGATTGCCGTCTACAGTAAATGATCCACGAAGCTTGGCCAAAAGCCCCCGGTGCCAGACGGTATCGAAGGCCTTGGCAAGATCGAAAAAACAAATCCCGACTAGATCTCCAGCATCCCGATGTCGACACACTAATTGCACCAGGCGCGTCAGCTGGAGGGTGGTAGAATCGCCTCTGCGAAATCCGGACTGAGCTGAACTCAAACGTGACGAGACATGACAGTACAATTGGTCGTAGAAAACGCGCTCACAGAGTTTGGAAACACAGGACAGTAGAGATATCGAACGGTAGTTTGATGCTTCGTGGCGGGACCCTTTCTTGTAGATCGGTATAACATTAGCTGTTTTCCATGCAGAGGGAAAACGACCAGTGCGGAATGATAGGTTGAAAATCAGACATAATGGGTATGCTATTGAGGGCGCAAGGGACTTTAATACCAGATTAGTGATGCCGTCTGGGCCCGGAGCCTTGTCAGACGGGAGCTTTCGAATGTAACGTCGAATGGCAGCAGTCGTAGTAAAGACAGATGTGAGACGGTCAACCTCACCCGACTCCTCGGCAATGGGGGGAATGGGTAGAGAAGGGTCATCAGGCACGGCCACTGAGGCGAACTGAGAGTTCAATGCAGTGGCTTTAGCTGAAGAGGTAGTAGCCTGCTGCGTAGAACTAATGGTGAGTGTCGGGATGTCACGAGATACTTTATGATTTTTTAATTTGTTCACGAACTGAAACAGTGATGGGCGGTTTTTGTCCTGCAGCGTAGCTTGTACGGACCGAATGTATCCCCGGTATTTCGATCGAGTCAGACTCTTCACAAAGTTCCGTTGAGATCGATATACATGCATGTTAAGCTGGGTTGGGTATTTCTTACACACACTGTAGAAATCGTGCTTTGCCTTAATGGCGGCACGGAGGGGGGGGCATCAACCCAAGGTGGCTGACCTAAACGTCGGCATGAGGGGGAGAGTGGACGCCGGGAGAAGTACCCGAGGTGCTTCTCCATGGCCCTGCTAAGAATAGAGTGGAAAGACGAAAGAGCGTCATCCACGTGCGAGCTGCGAAGGTGACATTTCCAGTGGACATCAGCAAGTTCAGCATTCAGGTCATCCCATACGCAACATGGCACCAACTTGAAATTGTAACCTGGGGGTGTAGGGGTAGATGTTGGGAGGAAGTGATGGTGTAGGGTTGGATTTTTGGACGTGGCAGGGAGACGGACTCGACAGATGAGCTGCACGTGGTCAGAGCTACCCAGTGGAGCGGCTGAATCAACGGAGAGGAACTGTTGGGGTGAATTTGTGACGATGAGGTCCAAGCAAGATGACCGGCCACTTGGGCTCCAGTGCGTAGGGAAGTTGACCAGTTGCTCTAATCCGAAGCACCTGAAGGCAGTTTCAAGGCACTGACCCACCGGGGTTGTCCGATCACCAGCCAACCAGCTCGAATTATGGGCATTGAAGTCACCGGTGAGGAGTAGTGTGGATTCAGATAGATTAATTGACAGAAGGCAGTCTTCCAGACCATCAGAATAGGCCTGGGTATCCGCCAGGGTACCACCAGGAGGTCGGTAGGTGGCGCAGACTATGAGTGGACGTTGGGGTGAGTTGGCTGTGCGAAGCTCAAGCCAGATGGCCTCCACGCCCGGTTGCTGAAGATTCGCCAGAGGCTTCACCGATGTAAAGGAGCCATCTTTCACCAGTATGGCTACCCCACCATAACCTCTGGTAGGATTGGCTGATTGAATATCACAGGTGGGACGATCCCGTCGATGAACTGTGTAGCCTGCCAATGAGAAGAGGTTGGCAGGGGACAACCATGTTTCACACAAACATATAACCTCCGGAGAGTAGCTGGTGCACATAACAGTGAGTTCCGCTACTTTGTTGACCACTGAGCGGCAGTTGAGGGAAAGGATGGTAAGGGCAGTATGGATGGGAGGATAAAAGGGACGGGCCAGTGGATTCAGTGTTCCAGTAGTGTTGGGGAAGACAAGGTTACTTATAACATCATGCTGCATGGGTTCCACAGTGGGGCAAAAAGGTGGTGGCTGAGAGAGAGTGGGTGAAGTCATAGTTAGTTGTAGGAGGTAGCAATGCGGTCAGATGCGAATCGCCATTCTCGTACACGCAGGGTTTCTGGCCAAAAGTCGGCAGACATAGATCGTTCAAAGTCGGATTCCGGGAGAACCACGTGGGCAAAAGCCAGTCCGAAGTACTTCGTTTCCGAAACTGAGCATTTTATTACGGAGACTCCCCTGTTGCTACACCACTTCTCAATGCTCTCCGCAGAACATCCAGGGTGGACGTTTCCCACATAAAGGGCTTTGCATTTTGTTCTGGATGCCGCTCGTAGGGTTGCTGATTGTTTTGGTGGGCGCTGATAGTAGGATGTGACGGCAGTCTTAGATCCGGAGGAGTGTGCTGTGGATCGTGTCGTTGACGTGGGTACTGTGACATGTGACGTGACCCGAGTGCCTGGGTGACTTTGATATCTCGTAGTGCGACTCGTACTGGGGCATCCCCGTACGTTGTCCCGATCACGTACCTGTGGCCATGGTGACGACTGTACTGCCGCACTGTACGTCCCGACGCTGTCAGCAGCAGGCGGTGGAACTTCAACCTCTAGTAAGGGGACTCCCTTCTCCTCTGCAGCCTTTATCTGCCGCCCCCGGTCGTCTCTCAGCGCTGCCAACTCGTCACTGATGCTAGCGACAATCCGCATCATCTCATCCAAACGCTCAACGACCCCAGCAGCTGATGAGTGTAACACACCCACACCAGCCTCGCGAAGTTTCCCAACCACCTCCGCGCGAGCCATACTGTCCAGGCCATCAATGCTATGCCGCCGAGCTAAACCTCGCAGTTCCTCGAAAGTGAGAATGGCCAAGTCTACGACGTCACCCAGGCTCATCCTGCACCAGATTACCGCAGACACGGCCGCAGCAAGTCTCGAAAATAGCGTCGTAAAGACAAGCCAGCAGTGTCAACAGAGGCGCGAGCACTCCACTCCAGCGCGTGATCCAGCGCCAGCCCTAGCGCTAAGGATTAGACCAGACCTGGACCAGGACTTCATCCAATGGCAGGACACTGCCAACTCAGCCAACCTGAAGATACAACAGCAGCCCCAGCCAGCTCCAGACCAAACAGCAACCGAGCAACTCAGCAGCCAAGCAAGCTTCTTCAAGCTTCTTCCTCCAACCAGAGCATCCAAAAGTCCAACCAGCACCTAGATCAACTTCACACATAAGGGCATGTACGATTGGTAGGATCCGGATCCAGATCAACCAGATCCACTGAATTCGAACCCTTTCGGTTGGTCGAATCCAGACTCGAATCCTTTGGATTTGGATCCGATCAACCCACCTCGGGGAGCAGGGTTGACCGGATCCACCGGGTTCTTTTTTGCCAAAATCGTACTCTGTACGTGATACGTGTACAAATTGTTGGAATACAGGCGATGATGCGGAATTCGTTCCTTTCTCTCATGGAAACCCTAAAAAATCACTAAAATCCCAGATTCGATCAAGGGCAGCGTTTGATTGGGCCTAGCGCCTTGGTGAATCCAAAGGATCCACTCAATCAATCTGGATCCGGATCCAACCAATCGAACATGCCCTCCCTACATGTATGATGTCCCTAACCCGGTGTTGTAACGGAATACTTGTCAAGTAACTTAGTTGCGCATGTAATTGCAGGGTCAGTTGAGAGGTAGCGGTTAGCCCATGTAGCATGATTGCTGTCTCATGGGTCTCGCGGTACCCACATGAACTACAGTACATGACTATTACAGCAATACTATTAGCGAACATGATATCTAGCAGTTCTCACTTCAGCTGATAATCGTTTCACAGAACGGAAACATTCGACCCGAAGCACTCTGGGATTGAATTATTTGGAGACAAGCTCTACGCCTACGGAGTACGAGAACAGCCTACTGTATGCAGCAGAGATTGAGTGACTGGCCTTACCGCGAAGCCAGGCGTTGTCGCCCACACTTGTCCATTGCTCAGACCAAGAATGGCCGCTTTCGTCACGCACTTAGTTCCCAGCAAGCTCTGATCTACATACTGTTGCCAGCTCATTATTGCCCTCAAATGATTCTTCGTTCACCGAGGCAAATCTACGAATCTACGAAGTGCAACAGAGCGAGTGGTAAAAACGGACACTTGCTCCGCTGCTAGTTGCTAGTTGCCGTTCCGTCGCAGTCCACGCGGCGGTTACTCCAATCAACTAATACTTACTACTTCCAGCTGGCAGTGATACCAAACTCAGGCGGTGCACGGTTTGTTCGTTCCACAAACACTAAACACTTTATAACAGTGCCGCTGACAACCTCATAATCTGAAGTCGTTCGTTTTGTCCAGTTTTTTTTAAAAATAGGGTCTGCTGCCATCCATGTGGCTGTAAAGTGTAATGTCGTGCTGTCCAGCTTGGCCATGGCATGCCGCATAGGCCATGTCCTGTCGCGTTCGATGCGGAAAGATGGCGCGTATTTCAGATTTTCAGCCATCCGTACTTTAGCTCTACACCTCGGATGGATCATGACCATGCTGACCACGGATCGCCCAGATGTCACCAGCTACATGACTTACTAAATCTACTGATACTGTCAAGTCAGCTGTATATGGATATCAGTCCTTATTCAGTAGATGGAGGCAACTCAAGATCGGGGCCGGGGACGAAGCTCAGACGGAGACAATGCCATGGTAGACTATGACTGACTATGTGCATTAACATGTGTGTTTATAATGGCTTGTCCGAGTTGTCGTGCTGAGAGATCGAGACGATAGTGAGATGTGGAACAATCATAATGTTTTACGCCACACTGCACAACCGCGTCGTTGTGACATAGTCATTATCATTGTGCAAGGCTTTGTAGATACGATCCTAGTGTGATCAGGTGATGCAGTGCCTAGTGGCTACTCTGTGCTCACTGATCCATACACATGAGACAAGTGCTTGGCCTACGGTACGGGTAAACTGATGATGCTTACCACTAACTGCACTGAGCTGTATGTAGCGCCTTGCAGCTTATGCTAGGATTTTGGCAGGTGGCACCAGACAGAACGCACGCGCAACGGACGGATACGCCGGGATACTAGTAGTCACCGCGCGGCCTCAGATCCGTGCGTCCGTACATCTGACGAGACCAGCATGCACTTCAGCGATCATCAGGTCCAGGATCAGGGTACAGGGACCTGGGACACTGCGTGCACTGGCTCACTCCTAATCCTATGCGCAAAGGATTATCATGAATACTAGCACCCGTATATCTGCACCTCTGAAGCCATGGCGGTCGTGTGTACTACATGTAGTAGTATTCGATTATAAAGCCAATCTGAGTTATGAAAACCTTTGAAGTATCACCAGGGATACAAACTTACAGAGACGCGCTGGAAACAAAGCGTCTCTGTAAGTTTGTATCCCTGGTGATGGTTTGGCCTGGAGAGCAGTATATAAGTGGTGCTTTTCAGGCACAATCTTCCTCAGCCTACTCAAGCTCAACTGATGAGGGGTGAATTCCCCGAAACACCGTGTATTGAGCAGGGAGTGGTGCTTTCTTGCAGGTTTGCCGAGTGGAAGGTGCGACGTGCTCCTCGTGTGCTCCGGATGGCAATCGTGAGTCAGTCAAGTGTCAAGTTCGGCAAGAAGCGTGTGTTCCTAGTTGGAACAATCAACTTCATGACTATTACCGCCGAAGTCGCAACTTCTAAGTTCTTTGAAGGATGTTTGTAGAATGAAGCAGTAAGGTCACAGCGCCTTTCTTCTATTCTAATACCCCCCCCCCCCCCCTCCCCAGCCGGAAGTAACTACGGAAGTACCAGACTGGCATTGACATTCGCACAGATGGATGTCGGCATCTGGGAGCCGCGCTTGGCTCAGCAGAATAGGCTCACCTGCCCACCCCTAAAGGCTCACGGTTTCACCCTCACCAAGGCCGCTGAGTTCCGTGATGCCGTGCACCTTCGCTATGGCTGGCATCCCGAAGGCCTACCACCGCCATGTTCTTGTACTGCAGACAGCAGTTCACAGTCAGCCATGCCCTCTCCTCAGGTAGGGACCGGCGGATTCTGCTCGAAAAGCAGTGAAATTGGCAAAACCATACAAACCTTATGCAGGCAGGCACAGTGGGTTGGTCTAAGAACGAGAGGTACCAGGTTCAAGTCCTGCTTGGGATCGAGCCGTAGGCACTGGCGGATTATGCTCGCGAAATCATGGAATTATGCTTTCATGGATTCTCGCATTATGCTCGCGAAATCCTCATATTATGCTTTGGCACGCAGGGATACATATACTCACTTTGTTGTACTTATGGAGCCTCAAAGTTCGGAAAATTGTGCCTTTTCGTACTTGCAAGTGGCCATTAGTACAACAAAATACATGAATATCCCCATACCAAGATGACCATGCATGCTAGAGATCAACATAGAAAGAGAAAACATGACTCCTTCTATTCATTAGTTGATTTCTTTTGTAAAAAGATTTTTTCATTGCCAAATTAGTTTGAGTTACCTTTTAAAATTATCATGTTCAACTGTCTTCGTAATCGTCATACTCGTCCAACCGATGTCACCCTCACCCTGCGACAAATCAGCTCATCTCTCCCGTAGCTCCACCTCTCCTTCCACCATGACCGAACATCAACTATACCTCTTTTTTTTTAAATTTATATGAGAACAATAACCATAGCTTGCACAGTCGATGGTCTCGATCCAGCGCGTTTCTCTGCACACCTTTTCGGAAAAGTTTCGAAGTAGTTCGTGAAAATGAAGAAAGTTGCGACTTCTTGCAAAACAACGGAAAGTTGCGAAAAAAGTGGCCAGCATCTTTGGAAAAGAGCTACTAGTATACTCCGAACCCTTTACCACGCGGACCACCAGCACTGATCAGTTGCATTGTGCACAATTGTGTAGCTTACATACTGGAATTGTGGTACAACCATGTAGTTATGCTCCTACCTCCGAAAGGATGCCAAATTATGCTCCGAATTTTCAACCTCCAAATTATGCCAATAATTATTTTGGATGGCGGTTTGAACTACCGTCAGCTCCTGCTTTTTGGCAGGAGTAGCTGTTCCCTAGGACAATTTGGAGCCACGCATACTGGCAGTGATTAGATGAGAGGTCATAATGAAGCAGTTGAGTCAATATTCCAGAAGCGTCGTCGTACGCCGTCATGTAGAGTTGCGACTTTCAACGTCCGTTCACTAAAATCAAAAATCAAAAAACAAACTCTCGCCGAAGATTTCGAGGCCTACAAGCTCGACATCCTTGGGATTACGGAGACCTGGATAGCCGACAATGGAGTTGATACCCTCGGCGATGGCCACAAGCTGTATAGGTCCGGAGGTCAATCGTCTCGCGCTGGCGTTGCCATCCTCGTCAACAAGAAATTTTCAAATAATGTTCTGTCGTATCAGTTCCACTCTGACCGAGTTGTATCTGTACGACTGGTACTCAGCCCGCGACCTGACAGTCGAGCTGTCACGGTCGTGTGCTGCTATGCCCCAACTCTTCAACGATCCACCATCAACCCTCAGGAAGCTGACAACTTCTACGAACTTCTCAACAATGTTGTATTGAAAACGAAGAACCGTGACGAATTATGGATATTAGGAGATTTGAATGCTAAAGTTGGGAGTTCGAGGCCGGGATCTGTCAGCCCTGTTGGATGCTACTCTAAACACACTATATCAAACTCAAATGGATGCAGACTTGTAGAATTTTGCGAGGACAACCGGCTGGTGCTAACCAACACACTGTTCAAGCACAGGATGCAACATCGCTCAACATGGTTTTCTGATGGTTTAGTGCATGCGGATGGAAAGCCTGTGCGGAATATGATAGATTACGTGATAGTAAAACGTTCCACCATGGCCGCGGTTCTAGATGCAAGATCGTTTGGAGGCTTCACCACGCGCTCTGATCATCACCCTGTTATTGCAGTTCTTGGCATCGCACTTTCTAAAGTCCATCCGACCGTCAAACAACAAGACCCATGTTTCAATCGCTATAACCGTCCAACCGCTGAATCGTCGAAACTGTTCTGCGACCGTCTCAAGGAGAAGTTACCTTCTCTGCTTCCACTCTCCGCAAACATCGACAATGCCACCGTGGATAAGGCATGGCGTGGATTCGTCTGGGCTACGCATGATGCAGCGCAGGAAGCATTCGGGAAAGTGCCCACTGGTTCTGCTCCGAAAGCAAGCACGAACCCTCGCGTTGCATCCTTATCCACTGAACAGAAGAATCTGCACTGCCGCATAAACGCTGAACCTGATCCAGAGCAACGTAAAGCTTTAAAGATTGAAAGATCTGCAAAACTCCACGAGATTCGAAGGATACTACAGAAGGAGGGCGAGCAATATTGGCAACGTAAGGCTGTTGAAGTAGATGCTTTACGCCCTGACCCACGGTCCTACTTCAACGCCATCAACAACTTACGCCAACTACGCTCTGGGAAGAAGGCTGCGCCTGTGCGTCTTGCTGACGCAGACGGCAGAATCATGGCAGACATCTCATGGAATCTTAATGCCTTTAATGAATATTATGAATCGGTATTTTACACTGATGGCCAGCCACTCGACCTCAGGCAGCAATCGAATGAGGAAGATCCATTCACAATCGAAGAAGTACGGTCTGCAATTATCAAGCAGAAGTCTGGTGGTGCTGTCGGTCCTGATGGTATCAGTGCTGATGCTTTGAAGTCAGCTAAAAACCTTTTCGCACCCTGGCTGACGAATTTCTTCAACGCTGTTCAAGCTACAGAGTACTGTCCTGACGACATGCGCTGCGGCCTCATCGTTCCCATCTACAAAGCCGGCAAGCCTCTAGGACATCCAAAAAGCTACCGCCCCGTTATGCTCCTTTCCGTCGTCCGTAAGATCTTGACGTCAATACTCACTCGACGACACACACTCCATGTGCAGTCATATGTGGCAGAGAGCCAAGCTGGTTTCCGCCCTGGCAGATCGACCACGGATGGTGTCTTTTACGCCAGGACGATGTGTGAGCGCGCACTACTTGGCGACTGGTCATATTCATCGGCACTATTGGACTTCAGCGGTGCGTTTGACACTGTCATTCGTCAGGTTGCTCTGGAGAGGTTAGCCACTGCTGGCGCACCAACGTCCACCACTGCAGTCCTAGTATCAAACACAACAGCCCGCACGAAGCTTGGTAAACAACTAAGCAAACCATTTCCAACAAACATCGGCGTCGTCCAGGGTGACCCAATGTCACCAATAATGTTTATAACTTACGCCGAAGGTTCCATGCGTAGGATCCGAGAGCAAGCTCTACCCGCGTCAGACCTACCAGCAACTTTCACACAATACGCAGACGACACCACTGCCCATCAGAACGAGCGATCATCTGTGGAAGAAACCGTCCGTGTGTGTGAACCCGTTTTCTCGGATGACAATCTGAAGCTGAACGTGGCAAAAACTCAATATTTCACTGTGACCAAGGAAGATGATTCCTGGAAATCGGTGAAGCTGCTGGGGAGTATGCTAGGCACAGCAGAAGACATAGCAGCCAGAGTGTCTGCTGCAAATCGGGCATTTGCAGGCATTCCATGGAAACGCCACAACCTGAATTCCAGGCTGTGTATGTTTTCCTGCCTGATATTGCCTGTCTTGCTGTATAATTGTGCGCTTTGGACCTTATCGCAAACATTAACCGACGTCGTCAATGTATGGCACCGGAAGAAACTACGTACCATCATTGGTATCACGTACCCACAACGAATCTCGAACACAGCGCTGTATGCCAGAACCGAGCAGACCCCACTATCCCAAGTCTGCAGGCAACGGAGACTGCTGTGGTTCGGCCATGTAGTGAGGGAAGGCGAAGAATCGTCCTCTTTCCAAGCCCTCCTAATGTCGATCAACACAACAGACATACGACGACCCCGAGGACGGCCACGTCTGAGATGGATCGACGTTGTCAAGAAAGACTTACAATGCATTAATCTGTCGCTTCTGGATGCTGTGCAATCTGCTTCTGATAGAGCTGCTTGGCTCGAAATTGTTAACAGATGCGTTGACCTCATGCAATGAGTGAAATGCGAACTGTCATTATTATTATTATTATTATTATGCCGGCATAATCCGCCGGTGCCTAGATCGAGGCCTTTGGCCTCTGGTTGGTGGATCTGATCTATCCTCGAGCCTCCCCCACCGTTTAGGAGCCGCATCTGACGCCTGATCATGGGGTGGTGGCGTCCCACGGAAGCGGAAAGGTGGTTCTTGACCAGGGAGTTGTACGACTCCTTGTTCTTGACCTGCCCGGTACGCGAACCCCGTCGAATTTATTTATTTATTTTATACAAACCTTATGGCGGGCAATTCCTCGGATTCTGCTCCATTTCTTTATCCACATACCAAACATGCATGAAACTTACCAGAAAAAGTACCGAATAGTCCTTATGCACATTGTACAGATGTACGAAGTTCTGTACTATGGCCGTAGGTGTGTACATACCCGGTTGGGTGTTCATTGTGTGCTATACATGCGCGTTTGACCCATTTAGCCTCACAATTCATGGCAAACGATCACTTTTCAAGCCTTCTTCACTTTGGGATTGAACTAACGACTAGCTAGATCTCTGCCGGAAAAAGATTTCGTATGAAATGCCTTCATGGCCCATTTCATAGTGGAAATAGCAGTAAACACAATAGGGTCCTGCACATTCAACACCCAACCGGGTCTACGGGATTCTACAAGATTATACGGGATTTCGTGCATCTGTACAATGTGCATAAGGCCTATTCTGCCAATTTTTCTGCCGGCAGAATCCGCCGGACCATACTCTCCTGCCCGTTACTGCGTTGCCCCCCCCCCCCCCCCCCCCCCCGTTACAACGAGATACGTGACCGAATCAGACGTAATAATAGCAGCTCGCCTTGCAAAGCGCGTTGGCCACCACTGACCAGGTGGCTATTGTAGTAGATTGAGCCACATCTACACGACTACAGCCACTTTCAAAGTAACGTTTGCTGGGGAGCACCTCCGCTACCCCACGGCTGTGGATGACGATCACTTGTGAAAACTAGAAACGCCCGATACGCAGAAGGGAATGCAGGCTTTCAAGGAAGGCGCCTACAAGTCTCTCCGCAGTCGAGACTAGACTGGCACTCAGCCTAAGATTACCGGGTCTGCATGTAGTCTGCAGTTACTTCACTGTTCACATGCTGACGGGCTAGGCCCGCATACACCATGTATAGTTTCGATAGTGAGGAAAATGTTATCAACTCCAAAGCACGAAAAAGGCCAAAAACTAAACCAAGAACATAATTATGCAATAAGGCCACACTGAAGAAGGTCTGTGCATGTGGTTCGACTCACCCGACCGACCGACATTTTTCAGCCCGACCGTAACTTTTTTCGGCGGGCTGTCGTGTGACTGACGTAGATCTACGTGGACTGAACACGTCCACGTACGTCTACGTGCTGTGCAGCGTGAGTCTGCGGACGCAGGCGGCTCCTTTTGGACTTGACTTGTAGTTGTACTGCAGTGCAGTGCAGTGAGTGGTACGACTGCTGCCTTGTGCTGGTACATGTAGTACTCGTAGAGTCTACTCGATACGACCACCGGCAGACTGGCGAGACTTATTTTGAAGTGACCGTCCGGTTGAGAGTGATTGCCTCGTTCCAGATTAAGGACGGCCTTCTGTTTTGGGATGAAGGACAGACGAGATTGTACTTTCCTCGTGTATTGGGAACGATATTTCACCTGTACCGGTAAGTTGCTGCTCCATGTGTGCAAGCACAGGAAGCGTCGATGGAAAAAAGCCCATGTATTCGTGCACGCCGACACCAAACTAGCAATACATGTACCGGTACATTGTACAATTTGTACTTCGAAGTAGTTCCCGAACTTACTTTCAACTCGCATCGTTCTTCATTTGCTTGATGATTTGGACAGTCAGAGTCACCGCTTGAAGTTATTCTCTTCTCGTTCCAGAGCTACCCAATGTTTCAAAGTATTAGCCAGTGATCCCTTTATACAACATGTATGGCATAACACTGCGTAATCATTGAATGCCGATGTACTGGGTGTCTAAAGGCAGTACAGTGTATTTACATGTACTAAAAAATATATTTTAAAAAAAAAAATCCGCCCGCCCGCCCGTAAAAAAAATGTCCATGTTAGTCGAACCACACACCTTCTTTAGTTTGGCCTAACATGTTATTTATAAAGACAGGACAAGTGAATAATTAGTCAGTCCATTGTTCATGATGATCTCCGCCGGTTACGTCGGCCTAAGATGCCCTCTGAACCTTCCCTGAACACCCTCTCCGCTTGCACCCTGGCCTGGCTCTCCCTTTTTACTCTATTACGTGTATAATCTCTCCATTTTTCACCCTCTACACAATGTAGAGGGGACGGTTCTACCGGAACGGTTTGACAGCAAAATGGTGTAGACCCAAATGACGACAGCTGGCAGCTGGTCGCTGCAGCCCCACCAAGACGCCGGAGAGCAGTAGTGTTTGTTGGCAACCTTAGCAGCACCTGCACAATGGAGGGTCTCACGGAGTTTGTGCACCGCCGGTCTCTAGCAGCCACAGGGAACATCATAGATGTCCACTCATGCAATGTACACACGGCAGCTAGCGGCAAAGTATCCGCCAGGGTCACCATCGATGCAGCTTGCCTGGCCACTGTGACCTCTGCCAACTTCTGGCCTCGGCCTCTCTACTGCAGGACATGGAAATTCAATCCACCCAAGAAGAGCAGCGGCAACGACAAGGGCATGAATAATTTTTTTTTATTTTTTACAAAGACCACTTAATGCCAAACATGAGATGCAGCTAGGGGAAGCACGCACAACCTGAATCGTGGCAGTGGTGGTGAGGTTTAGGGAGCTCCGCCGACCTAGGGTCTCGACTTCATAGCCACCTAGACGCACCAAGAGTGGGTGGGGAGGGAGAGAGAGAGAGAGAGAGAGAGAGAGAGAGAGAGAGAGAGAGAGAGAGAGAGAGAGAGAGAGAGAGAGAGAGAGGGAGAGAGAGGTTGCGAAATTGTGTGAAATGATCCTTCCCTGAACCATGGCATGATGTATGTAATCGAGCATGCTCCGGAGGGCAAGATCCAGCCATCATGATGGACAGGGCATGCTTGATTTGATTTCTTACAACATAGTCGGAAAGGTCGGAAAGGTCAAAGGCTGAAAGGTCGAATTCTTCCCATAATGACGTCAAACGGTCCTGATGGCCTGATTATGCCCGCGGCGGGAAGGCCGCCTATTGCAGCATTGACCATGGCCTGGGTAACGGCCACGCGTCGTGTAAGACAACGTTATTGTGATTTCAATTATTCCTCACTGGTGGTCATTGCCATGACTGCCATGACTGTACCTTCAAAACAATGTGATCACACCTGTCACAGGTGGTATGGACACCCCAAGAACTCTTGGCCGTATGCACACACTACATCATGTGTACAATAGCTGGTCATACATGTAGATAGCAGCAAGCTTGATTTTTCAACCTACCGGTATTGACGTAAATACAGTACAGGGAATGTGGATCTGCTACTGTGAGGTCGACCGGTCCATGATGTTGCCCACTTTCTCTGGCCCCAAGGGGTGGTCGTTAGAGACAGGGTTTACTGCACATGTACACAGATATCCACAGGTAAACTATCTCTGCCTTGTCTGTCCAATCTTTGCTTTTTCTCAATGTGCTTTTTGTTGCTTTGTTGCAACCTTGCAGCGGCGTCAGAGTATCCAGAAGAAGAAGAACTTCGATGTCGATTCAGTGAGTGCCAGGAGAGGAACACTTGGCATCAGATCTCATTAGAAGAGAAAGCGATACAAGTACTGATGAATGAATGATCACTTAAACATATAATTATGGATTCTGGTTCCTGCTCTAAGTTGAAGATAACAACTATAGTGATCCGAATCTGATGATGAATCTTATGACGAGGGGGGGGGGGGAGCGGCAGAGGGGGGGGGGGCAAATCTATTGTTACTGCTAGTTGCGCTCTGAAGTGCTTTCTCCTGTCCATAGATAATCCTCCGTTGTGCACATTGTGCGTGTGTATGCAGGATGGTGGCATCAAGAAGTTCTTCTTCCCACTCGTCAGTGTGACATTCTGCTCATGTAATCCAAAGAACAATAGGTATGGCTTGGTGATTCTTGCTTGGCTCAGAATGTGTTTGTGCTATCTATACTGGGGCCTGTCTTGGTCACATGATTCTGTACTTTGCCTTTGCTTAAAGGTGCATGTACTAAATTCAATGATACACGGTGAGTCTTGCCGGAAACAAATCGTGGGAAGCATTGCACTTGTAAGTTAGAGCCAGCTACATAAGCATTGCTATGGACGTTAATAACAGGAACTGGCTGTTGGACTTTGTACAGTAATCAGATGGCCCATTGGCGTGTGTTTGTTCTGAAGCAGTTGTTAAACAATATGAGACATCTATGGTGGAACATACTGTGACAGTGCATGCAGGAGGGGCAGTATCTCTGTTAGGTGATACTGCATTTAAAATTTATTGTGACCGTGGGAAAGTGCCCGGGTATGGCCGGGGTGAATACGCCGTGCATGCATGCAGACTACTGTTGTCTGACGCGTGCGGCAATTTTTGTATACATGTATAATGTGTGTCCTTGTATGCACGCGTGTATGTTCATCTTCTTGTCAGGCTCTGGGCATTCGTCAGCCGCCGTAAGGACAAGGTCTTTTCCTGCCAGGTGTTCGCTGCGTCACAATCAACACAGCCACTCACTGTTGCAATGGGGTAAGTTTTGCAGTTATGAAGCTATGAGCATTTTGCTCTTGTAAACTTCCCGGCGTTCTCTAGCACGGGCTTCATTGAGCAGTCTTGCCTTAGCGCAAACATTTTGCCATTAGCCTTGTGCAGGCGCATACCCTTACAGACATTTGTACACGCTGGTATCATTCACAATTCTTTACATGAAACTGCTTTTGTCGTACCAAGAGTCTTAGACGAGTGTTGTTGTAAAGAGATGCGATCTAGTTCTCTGGACTGTGCAAAGAGCCCAAATATGGCAATTGTTTGTCCACAGATGAGTGTACACTGTGTGGGTGGCGGGGTGTCCCGTATCGGCATGGTAACGATGTTGAACAGCCTATGACCTTCACGTTTGATGTTGTTGATTTTCCCGTGTTGTGCAGACGCGCATTCAAGCAACTCCATACCGACTTTGTGCAACATGCCACCCAGGAAGCACGCAGCAAGTAGACAGCTGGCACTGGCAAACCAATGCAGTACACAGCGTGCTCTGTGTGTCTCGTGAATCTATATGTTGGACTCAGTAGAGCGTCCAGCCCCTATATGATGTCCAACCCCTATATAGAGTCCATTGGTCCAAAATCCACTGTACAGAGTCCAAACTTGGAATCAACTGTGAGCTCAAAGTTTAGATGGACATCACTCCCTGTATAGAGTCCAGCCAATTGGCTTCACCCCTATATAGAGTCCATTGGTCCAAAATCAACTGTACGGAGTCCAAACTTTGAAATCAACTATAAAGATTAAAGAGTCTTATGTGGACAACACTCCCTGTATAAAGTCCAGCCAATTAGGCATCCCCTATCGAGTTCGAAATTAGACATAGGATCTGCTGTAAGCAGTGAATATTAACCAGAAAACGGCGTCTCCCTTTAATCCTTTACATCATTCACTTCTCAAGGTAAAAAATATGTATTGAGGCGCCACTGCAGCCACTTCATTACATGAAAAAGCCTACAAACACCAGCCTCAAATCAAGTGGTCTCTTCGCAGACGCTGCAAATTACAATATCTCAATCATGTAGTGTTGCCAAATAATTGTGCACGCACACACACACACATGCACACACCCACACAACGCCAAGAAAATACCTAGAAAATAAACAAGAATCGAAAGAGAATAATGGAGAGCCCAGGATTAATTATTTGTTTTCAAATTATTGAGCGCGCACGCGCGCGCGCACACACACACACACACACACACACACACAAACTTATACAACGCCAAGAAAACACTAAGAAAAGAGTAGAGACACAATGCACACGCAACTCCAACAGCCATGCAAACGTCCACCCATTTACAAGTAAAGTCAAGAGGGATAACAAATAATTATACGAAACTAATGCATACAGGGACGGGTACACGCACGTTTACATACATGTAGTAGTGTAAGAGAGTAACATAGTGCAGTAGTCAGCATAATACTAGCACATGCTGAGAGTGCGATAGCAAGCTTCACCATTGCTCATGGCCATGCAAATGTTCAGCAGCACTCAGTTCCGCAAGCTTCTGAAGATCAGCACACCTGCAACAAATAGATAGCACAAGGATACGCTTATTACCGTAATGATGCATGGGAGCACACAACTACCAAGTTCTCAACGAATGTGATGCTCAATGAAAATCAATCCACTCAAAGACCTGTGAACAGGTGACGGTGGGGACAATAATCTATTAGTAATACGAGGAATAAGATGGTTTGTGCACACTCAAGACGCACAGACACATCACCATACATGTAGTGTACACAGTGTTTCACTTCACTGCAACTAAATTGAAATGAGATGATTTGAACAATCTGTACAGCGTTGCCGTCAGTCAGTCTTCCCCAAGATGGAAATACAATGATTTGTTGTCACGAGGCAGTTTCACTGACACAATGTCATGTTCGTGACATCAAAACGGTTACTTCAGGGAATACGAGTATTAGCTTGAGAAGCTTTTTCTTGTCATTGGCATACAAGCAATCCTCCTACTACTACTAGTACACTGGCACTGCGTTTGTGGATCCCATTGTATTTTGACATCACACTAGAGGAAGAGTGTCGTGGAGTTTCACATAATTATCACAGGGATAAAAATACATTTCTCATGAAATAATTATAATAATTGATGATAGCTAGACGATCGTATACGATTGATGCAAAGTCCTTGCAGTCCTTGAGGACTATTACGAAGAGGTTGATTACTTTTAGGGCATTCATTCAAGCAACATCAAACAAACGCGATACGCTCCTTGAAAATGGAAAAAAATTCAAGCATAACGACAGAACAGCAGACCAATCGAAACGAGTAAAAGCATCCTTACCTCAGTCATCGTCCTGCCATGTAGTTGGACAGCCTTTTGACACGGTGGGACAGGCAGCTCTTGTCCAGTCAAACAGGGGTATCCTTGTGGCGTCGAACGAAAGAGAGTGTCAGTGTACTATCTGACTCGTCAGATTGGAACTGTGCTGAACTTTTCTCTTTCTCCGGTTTCTGCTTTCATCCCTCGCTCTGATGAAACCGTTCAAACGTCTTACTGGCAGCAATGGCCAGCCAAACAGGGGATCCTTGTGGCGTCGAACGAAAGAGAGTGTCAGTGTACCTGACTCGTCAGATTTAAACTGTGCAGTGAACTTTTCTCGTTCTGCAATTTCTGCTTTCACCCCGCACACTGATGAGACGTCTTCAGAGAACCACAAGACGCTTTCCAGATTTGATTTTGAACGTCTCCTTATCCTCCTTGGTTACCTCGTGACAGATTACTGTCAGCAACTTCACAGCAGAACCGGCAGCCATGGCTGAAGCGAAGAAAGGAATGCGCTGCCACGAGGCAAGCAAAACTGAAAAAGTGTTTGTTCTTTTTCGGGCACAACACACAGGACGGCGTGACTGGATAAACTGGACTCCTGGACTGTGAATAGGGGACTGGTAGAAAAAGTGTACTCCTTATAGGGGATTGCGCGGCAGGTTGAAGCTGATCAAAACTGAGTGGACTCCTGGACTCTGTATAGTGGATTTTGGACCAATGGACTCTATATAGGGTGCTGGACATCATATAGTGCATGGACTCTATACTGAGTCCTACATATATAAAATGCTGAGTGTCTGCCCCACAAGTGCATGTAAATTATCCCTTGTTTCCTTCCTTCTTACAATACCTTCATGTTAGCCTGCTCCGGAATCGTGTTTACGTTTCCATGCGGTTTTTGTTTCAGCCTTTTTGCTCACTCTATCTTTAAGGCCTGCTTTGTCCAATAATACTAAGTCTAACTAGTGGCTTTCAATCATTTCCATCTCCACCTATTTAACATGAACAGATCTGTTGGTCTCGAATGATAACGTTAGTCTGCCAGTCATCATGACCATCATGCATGACGCACAGTGGATGCCTGTGTGTGTGTGTTTGTGCATGTGTGTGTGTGTGTGTATGTATGTGTGTGTGTGCGTGTGTATGTGTGTGTGTGTACGTGTGCGTGTGTGTGTGTGTACGTGTGTGTGTACGTGTATGTATGTGTGTGTGTGTGTGTGTGCATGTGTGTGTGCACGTACATGTGTGCACGTACATGTGTGCATGTGTGTGTGTGCACGTACATGTGTGCATGTGTGTGTGTGCACGTACATGTGTGCACGTGTGTGTGGGTGTGCTTGTACATGAAGAGGGCTATACATGGCTATTGTGGTCATTCAGAAAATTATAATAACTTGGCATACGTGGTGTCACGTAGTCATGTCCAGACATAGCCATCTGACCTCTGCACTGACTACACTTTCCCCACAATCTACACTAGTACTTTATCAGAGGAGCAGCTAGAGACGAGTGTGGGTGTGGTTAGAACAGAGGGCAAGCAGAAAAGGTCAAGCAATGAGGATGAGGTTACTGAGGAAGTACATCGCCGCGGCTTACTTTAACAATTGCGACGAGTGACATCATATACTTGCCCCACAGGGGAAAGCACCCCAGCTAGACTGCAGTGATGGAAGACCATTCGATTTCACGACGTGGAATAGCGAAATGACCCAAAACTATTTCAGGCATGGCAAGTTCCTGGCGTAACACAAATCTCAATTATTTCATTTTCCAAACAAACTGCAGCGTCCGCGCACATGCATTCATCGGTAAAGAAAAGAAGAGCCGGCATTTTTGCCCTTTTGAGGGCATGTGTCAACCTCCATCACAGAGATAAATTTCAGAATCGGAAACATCATTGCAAGAACTAAATGTAGTTTTGTAAAATATTCCTGGCCAGCAACATATCGTATACTCCAGCTGGTGATTATTAAAATTCTGGACACCTATAATAATGGTTCAAGTCACTGATGTGCAGGTCGGAGCATGGTCGCTTCTAGTAGTGTTGCTCTCGGAGATAATCACCTAGCTTCTCCACAACAGCATTGCACGATCCAGGCTGTATGCCATTCTCGTAGTAACCGACTATGAGTGCTGTCAGGGTCTTGCAGATGCACACGCCACCAGAGTTAGCGCCCTTGCGTCCGTACAGGGCCGATTCACCACTGCGTCTCAGGAAGACGAAGTGCATACCGGCCACAATTAATCCGTTGCTGTACAGATCCTCGGGATTCTGATAGGCGTTGCGCAACACCCCCACCTCTATCGCAGACACCTGCAATAAACAGCATATAGTGAGCCGTGGAGAACCGAGAATCATGAGAGGGGAGAGAGAGAGAGAGAGAGAGAGAGAGAGAGAGAGAGAGAGAGAGAGAGAGAGAGAGAGAGAGAGAGAGAGAGAGAGAGAGAGAGAGAGAGAGAGAGAGAGAGAGAGAGAGAGAGAAAGAAAGGGAGAGGGAGAAGAAGAGAGAGAATGGATTGTGATGCTAATGCCAACTAACGTTACGTGGAGGTTGCAAATGTGGAGGTTTTTATAGAACCGCTAATGATGGCTAGTTGGGAAAGGATATAGAATTTTAAAAAACCCTCTACTAGCAAGGTATCATGGGTCTTCATTCATGATTTACAAACTCATTGGTTAGTGTACCTTTTAAAAAAGGCGTAAACTCAACACCCCAAACTGGTTTAGCCTGGCATAGACCAAAATCCATGGCGGGAAGCAGTTTATGTGTGTGTGTGTGTGTGTGTGTGTGTGTGTGTGTGTGTGCGCGCGCGCGCCGCATGCATGCGCAAAGTATACACACCTATTGACTAATGGACTGCTTCTGGCTAGATTAGCTCTTGTGTAATCAATGGTGCTAGTGAAGCCTACATCAGGTCAACTCTGATCTAGCCACCCACACTACTAGCAAGTATTACTTTTCCCGGCTGGGGGCAGGGGTAAATGCAGTTGGATCCCAGGACGGATACTTTGATGCTGTCAATCCCTTTTCTGCACCGGCTTAGCCCTATGTTTGTACATCGTAGAGTGCGGTTGCATTTTTTGAGCTGTGAACATGCCGTTGATCGACTATTCATATCCAAACGATAGCTACAAGCAAGGATCGGTAACCCCAAAGCAGGCCTTTGGGAAGCCATGCTTTGATCTCTACGTTGAGGAGGACGACACAGACTCTCGGTCTGCTGGTGACTCCACTGGAGAGGCGAACGTGTGTTCTGCGGGCAGAACCACACACCCTACGGAATGCGGTCGAGATGCAGGCAGCAAGTCGCCGGTAAGTGACTTAGAGGTTATCTCGCCTCCCGAAGACTCCATATTAGATGTCAATGGCCTGATCGAAAGCATCAAGACCGAAATAGTTGGGACAGTCAAGGCTGAATTGGCCGCCCTTCACGAAGTTTTTTCAGGGATCTCCTCGGCAATCGTCAACATGCAAGGGGAACTCTCCATGATTAGAAAAGAGCAAGCTGACCTTGCACACACGCATACGCCTATTAGTACGGTGCAATCAGATTCCCGTATATCTGCGCTGGAGGACAAGTGTAAGGAACAGGAAGCGCGCCTCAAGTCAGTAGAGCATATGCAACACATGTACACAGAACCGACCCCACTCAAAAAGGCTGGCGATACCGTATCCAAGCCGGGTGCACGTGGGCTGCAAATGCAGCAAGCCAACCAAGGGCGCCTCAAGTCAGTAGAGCATGTACAACACACTGCACCGACCCCATTCCAAAAGGCGGGCGATACCGTATCCAAGCCGGGTGCACATGGGCTGCAAATGCAGCAAGCCAACCACATGGATACCACTACAAGTTGTAGCACTTGCAGATCCACGACCCAGCAGCGCGTATGGGCATCAGTGCTCAATAGCTCCAGTGACAACGGAGCACTTCGGCCCTCCTCCAAGCCATCGGTCACTGCGCAGCCACCTCTCCCACAGGAGCACCGCCAGCAAACTAACCAGCACCAACGACCCCAACAGCGACAACAACAACAACAACAACAACAACAACAACAACAACAACAACAACAACAACAACAACAACAACAACAACAACAACAACAACAACAACAACAGCGCCAGAAGCAGCAGCAGCAACAACAGCACCACCAACACCACCAACACCAGCAACACGACGAACAATGGACTACAGTTACCAGCCGCAAACTGAGAGGTTCTCTTGGCTCCCTGCGGAAAGTATACTTTGTTGGCAATATTGATGACAGTTGCGACGCAGACTCCATAACGTCCCACTGTGTCCAGAATGGCATCACACCCACAGCTTGCCGCACCTTTCCTTCTCGCAAGCATGTAGGCACAAAAGCTGCAAGGCTTACAGTCCGTGAAGACCAATGTGCAGCCATCGAGGCAGATGGGTTTTGGCCAGCGCCCATTCAGGTTCGGCCATGGGACTTCAGCGAGGCAAATAGGCCCACAGCCACCATCTAATCGACCGTGTTCCCACTCAATCCCCATGCACCAGTCTTCTTACCTCGCATCTATCGTGCCCAACCCTGCTCAACAGCAGCCACGACCTTGTTCCCACTCAACCCCCATGCACCAGTCTTCATACCTTGCACCTATCGTGCCCAACCCCGCTCAACAGCAGCCACGACCGTGTTCCCACTCAATCCCCATGCACCAGTTTTCATGCCTCGCACCTATCGTGCCCAACCCCACTCAACGTTTGTAAGAGAACAACCTCCACCTGATACCACACCAGTAAACGCATCCCCCCACAACAATAACAATAATTCTTGCATTCGGATATGTACCCTGAACTGTCGTAGTATGAAACATAAACTGGCTGATATTACAGACCTCCTTGACCACCATAAAGTAGACATTTTGTGTATAACGGAAACGTGGCTAAATTCGTGTATCCCAGACGAGATCATTCAGATACCGGGTTACGACCTGTTCCGTCGTGACCGGTCCCAGTGCAGCACTACATGGAGCGACTTGGGTGGTGGTGGGGTAGCAGTTTTCTCTTCGTCCGCCCTTTGTGCTATGCGCCGCCGGGATCTAGAGTGCAACAATTCAGAGATGATAACTGTCGAAACAGGAGCTACAATCATTTCCTGTATGTACCGTCCTCCAAGACACGATAGTCTTGCATTCTGCAACTCATTCAGTCCTCTTCACCCCCTCGTTGACAACCGTCCAGTAATTGTCGTGGGAGACTTCAACTCCAAGAACAATGAGTGGAACAACGCAGACCCTACGAACACTGCAGGTAGACACATGCAGTCCGCCTTTGACGACTATGGCTTCACTATGGTCTCCAAGAACCATGGAACGAGGCCAACTAAAGATTCTAATCCGTCCCTAGACCTGATTTTAACTAATATGCCCCATCTTGTCACTTCATGTTACACATCCATGCCCATTGCAGACCACTGTCCTCTATTTTGCGCATATTCTCCACCAGAGAAACGCCACTCTAGAAGTACTATCAACGCAGCCGCAGTCTCCAGAAAGGTTGACATGCACCTCCTCAGGCAGAAACTGAGCACACTACCATTGACCGAATGCATGCAGGGCACCAACGTGCACATCAGTTTCAGATGCATGGCCTACTCTGCACTGCTGGACCAGGCAATTCAGGCAGCAACGACCATCACACGCCGGAAAAACACCCAGTCGAACCAACCTTGGTTCACAAAAAAACTTAAGACGCAACGTCAGCGAACCAACCGTCTCTATGTGCTCCACCGAAAGGAGCCACTCAACGATTCCTTACGAGCTGCATACAAACTCTCGCGCAACCTGTACCACCGGTCATTAAGAGCCGCCAAGGACACATACTTGTCAACGCTCGGATACACAATGCTTGGCAAGGAAAGAAAGGGTGGCTATGCGTGGTGGAAACGTGCCAAAGCAATATGCAATATTGACCAAACAAATAAAAAGGCAATTCCAGACCTGCAGAACGGCAATGAAATTCACAAAACAGATCAAGCGAAGGCCGAAACGCTGTGTACCTTCTTTGCCCGCCAATGCACCACTCAGTCAACGCCGCCGAATACTGTAGCAACTAGTATAACAATCAATGAAGCCGACGTCGATGGAAACAAATTTGGATTCGGAAACATACGCCCTGTTGAAGTCTTCGATGCAGCAAAGAGGCTGCAACAACATAAATCATCATCAGACATCAACCTGACAAACCGTATACTAAAGCAATTCGCAGATATCCTTTCCCAATCACTATCAGTATTGTTCAACTACAGCCTTGATGATGGTGTGTTCCCGTCCTCCTGGAAATCATCCACTGTAATACCGGTGTACAAGAATAGAGGTTGCGCCAAAGAGCCTACCAATTACAGACCTATATCCCTTCTCCCATGCATAGCGAAACTAATGGAAAAGATTCTCTCGGAACGTCTACTTCGATACTTGATGACCCAGGGTGTAATTTGTAAAGGTCAATTCGCATATGTACGCAACAAGTCGGTAACGGACCAACTTATCTTGCTAACCCAATCAATGGCTGTAAATATTGATAGTGGCACTAATTTTGACCTGATATCTCTAGATTTCAGGAAAGCTTTCGACCGGGTCGACCACTCTGTACTCCTAAAGAAATTCGGTAAGATTGCTACAGCTTCGTCAGTAAAATGGCTGAAGAGCTTCTTAGGGGATCGACAAATTGAAGTGAAGGTACATAGCACTAAATCGAAGAAGCGGAGCATCAACTGCGGAGTGCCTCAAGGTTCCCACCTTTCACCACTCCTATTCCTACTCTATATAAATGACCTGCCCAACGCTATGCAACATTGCACGCAATATCTATTTGCAGATGATGTCACCCTCCTACTGGCTTACAAACCTGAAGACACCCTCGCCAGTAGAGCGAACATGCAGTCTGATCTCGATGCATGTCAAACATGGGGCAGGAACAATGGAGGTGAATTCTCAGCAAGCAAGACATCCGTGCTGTGCCATAGAGCTATCAATGATACACCTACTGCAGGAATCCAATACCAAATGTACAATGAGCCATTAACGGTGGTTTCTGAACTGCAACATCTTGGCATCACCTTGACCGACAACCTGGATTTCCGCAAACATGTCGCCTCAATAACTTCGAAGTTCAGATATCGAGTGCACCTACTGTCAATTATGTCCCAGCAACTTACGCCTTCGGCAATGATCATACTGTACAAAGGGTTTGTAAGACCTGTGATCGAATATAGCTGTACGGTGTGGTCGTTTGGATCTAATAAGAAACCCATGACCACTCTTGATCAATTACAGGCAAGGTTTGCTAGAGCTCTACTGAAAAAGAAAAAAATTGCATTTGATTACACTTCTTCCAAATCTGTCTTAAATTCTAAATGCTCCCTAGAGTCACTAGCCTATCGTCGTCAAATCATCAGTCTCACTACCTTTCACAGATATGTTTTCCATCATCGTGATTACCTTGCTGATTTCCATTTCAAGATTACGAATAGTGAGCGACGACCAAATAAAATCATTCTTCCCAAATTTAAATCATTGTCTAAGTCTCTCTTCATGTTCCGAACTGCTATTCTATGGAACTGTTTACCCCCCCCGTCTAACATCGGAAGCCTCGCTCTATAAGTTTAAAGCTGCCCTCAGGAAATTTACAGCTGACTATGCTTATGCAATCAACGGAATTCCGCCACCTTGCAGTTGATTTTCCCCATTTCTCTCCTCATCAATCCCTACTTCTCTTTGTACATACATCTACATCTACTGTTCTTTCAATCAAATGAACCCCTCGATAGGCACATTGCCTTTGGGTCATTTCATAATAATAATAATAATAATAATAATAATAATAATAATAATAGTATAGAGGTCATCAATTGAGATGCTTTGGCAAAGTCACGGCACAGCAATGCAACGCACTAGCATAAGCCGCGCAGCTGACTCGCGCGCAGTGTACGTAGTACTGATAAGAGGTTCCACTGACTCACCGTCATGACATTATTCGTATAACCTGACTTATAAGTGAGGGCTACTGTACAGTCCAGTAACTCACCACTAGTACTAGTACTGATACTTTGCCAACATCTTCTACTTATAGTTAGGGAGTTTTGAGCATTTCACCTGGTCCTGGAATCTATCTAAGGGCATGTTCGATTGGTAGGATCCGGATCCAGATCAACCAGATCCACTGAATTCGAACCCTTTCGATTGGTCGAATCCAGACTCGAATCCTTTGGATTTGGATCCGGTCAACCCACCTCGGGGAGCAGGGTTGACCGGATCCACCGGGTTCTTTTTTGCCAAAATCGTACTCTGTACGTGATACGTGTACAAATTGTTGGAATACAGGCGATGATGCGGAATTCGTTCCTTTCTCTCATGGAAACCCTAAAAAATCACTAAAATCCCAGATTCGATCAAGGGCAGCGTTTGATTGGGCCTTGGTGGATCCAAAGGATCCACTCAATCGATCTGGATCCGGATCCAACCAATCGAACATGCCCTCCCTACATGTATGATATCCCTAACCCGGTGTTGTAACGGAATACTTGTCAAGTAAGGCTGTGTTTACATGAGAAATTTCAACCCGGGTCGAGTTCAGCCCGGGTTGAAAGTCTGTACGATAGACAAAAGAGGTGAGCGTTTACATGAAGACAGTTGACCCGGGTCAAATACTGATGTGCCGCCAAAAGTCCACTTCTACAGTCCTGTATGGTCACGTGAATCCGTTCGCGCGAAATTTGCATCTGCAGTGCCGTTCAAACCTGGCGCGAGATACGCACAGAAGTACGTTTGTACGATTTTCTTGACCCGGGTTGAAATCAACCCGGGGCGAAATTTCAACCTGGGTCAAGCGCAATGCGTCATGTAAACGCGCAATTCATTTTATGCACATGGCGGGTTGAAATTTGACCCGGGTCGAACTCAACCCGGGTTGAAACGCCTCATGTAAACACCGCCTAACTAATATTACTTAGTTGCGCATGTAATTGCAGGGTCAGTTGAGAGGTAGCGGTTAGCCCATGTATCATGATTGCTGTTTCGTGGGTCTCGTGGTAGGCCTTTCCGGATTATGTGTTTGCATATTTTTGCATTTTGGGGGTCAAAATGCATTTTGTCCATTTTGACCCACTTTGGGCCAGCGAGTCGTAAAATACCGGTATTTTACGACTCCCTTCAAGCGATAGGGACTTCACGATCACCATGAATGATCACCATGGTGCCAAATGTCACGCGACTAGCTGTCGCCATTTTGTTACCATGGCAACGGTGGCATTTTTTGTGCTTTTTGGGTAAATTTTTGCATTTTCGTACCCTGTAAGAAGGCCTTAGGCCTGTGGGGATTGCCCTATCAAAAATTTGATAATAATAATAATAATAATAATAATAAATTGATTTATAGGGGTTTTTCAAAACACTTTCCATTTCCATTTTAGACCAAGAAAAAACGCATAATCCGGAAAAGCCTATCTCGCGGTACCCACATGAAGTCATGACCTACAGTACATGACTATTACAGTATTACTATTAGCGAACATGATATCTAGCAGTTCTCACTTCAGCTGATAATCGTTTCACAGAACGGAAACATTCGACCCGAAGCACTCTGGGATTGAATTATTTGGAGACAAGCTCTACGCCTACGTATACGGAGTACGAGAACAGCCTAATGCAGCAGAGATTGAGTGACCGGCCTTACCGCGAAGCCAGGCGTTGTCGCCCACACTTGTCCATTGCTCAGACCAAGAATGGCCGCTTTCGTCACGCACTTAGTTCCCAGCAAGTAATCTACATACTGTTGCCAGCTCATTCTTGCCCTCAAATGATTCTTCGTTAACCGAGGCGAATCTACGAATCTACGAATCTACGAAGTGCAACAGAGCGAGTGGTAAAAAACGGACGCTTGCTCCGCTGCTAGTTGCTAGTTGCCGTTCCGTCGCAGTCCACGCGGCGGTTACCAGGTTACTCCAATCAACTAATACTTACTACACTGTAACTCCAGCTGGCAGTGATACCAAACTCAGGCGGTGCTTCGTTCGTTCGTTCCACAAACACTAAACACTTTTTAATTAACAGTGCCGCTGACAACCTCATAATCTGAAGTCGTTCGTTTTGTCCATTTTTTTAGTGTTGAAACGAGCGTATCTTTAACTAACGAGCGAACAGTTCCACTAGGCACTAACGAGCGAGCTATGGAGATGCTTTGAACTTCCAGTGCCGACTAAGCATGACTTTCGCTCAAACCATGCAAACGGTGATTCACTAGAACTCAGGTACTAGGTAGGGAGTTCAGTTCCGGTCACAGAAAAGCGAAAAGTACAGTCACAGCTCGCCTGTACAAAGTGAATGGGCGCCTCGTGACTACTTGTAGGCCCAGGTACTACTAGGTGTAATATGCCCGAAACTTTGCCGAAAATGCTTTTGGGAAATTCTCGTAAACCTTGCCGAAAATGCTCCCAAACCGTGCCGAAAATGCTCGGAAAATGCTCACTTTTTTGTCATCCTCAGCACACGCCGTCAAAACCAGGGAGTCAGAAAATACTCAATAAGAGACTTGCTCGAGTCTGCCATGGCATGGTAAACAATTCATAAACTACTCAACAAGAAGCTAACCCACGGAATGCGGAAGTGACGTTCTTGTTTGGGAAGTTTTTCTTCTCTCAATTATTTTGATACACAACGGCCAAGTGCTCCGTTTCCCCCAAAATGCTGCATCACGAGCCCAAAGTGCTGGGTTCGCGGATTGTACCGAAAATGCTCACAAAAATGCCGGCATATTACACGGGGGGCCTACTCGTGACTGCAGTTCGAGATGCAGTTCGAGGCCCGAGTATCTTCTCCCGCGGCCTTTTCGGCCTTGTCGATGCTATTTTTAGGTAGCTGAGGTCATTACCTTTCCAATGGTACATGGTGCCACACATGCCATGCTTCCAAAAATAATGCCTCCGTGTTCAGCGGCCTCGAATTAGCCTAAACCAAGAGGATTCTAGAACAAGGCTCGCGCTTTATCGCAGTAGAACTAGAAGTGAGTAGTAGAAGGAAGATGATCACAGAAACCAGCCCACGGCGATTTCCTGGTGGTAGAGGAAAAAAATCAATTGAACTGCGCGCACACTGTAGAAGCAGTGTCGGTGAAAACGTGTGACTTTTGCAAGCAGGCGCGCACGGCATGCGTGCACACAGTCACTGCATGCATGCACACATCCTGTATCGCCATGTACATATGTACGCACCAGATAGTGCAGTGCTGGACGGAAACCACACGGCTCACATACATGTACATACTTGCATTTACTTCTGTGACTACTTTCAAGAGTACATAACCCTCTTACAGTAAGATCGGGCGCCGAAGAAGGGGCTCGAGCGCTGTAGGAAATTTTTGATTCTAGCCAGACCGTTCTTATTCACACGCGTGCGGCGAGTCGAGTGACGTCATGACGTTTGTCATGTACGTGTACATGTACATGTACATGTAGTGCAATGTACACCGAAGGATGTACCCAGAGTGCTTGATAGTGTTGCCTGATGATTGCGTAAGCATGAAACTTAAAGTAGCAGCAAACAAGCCTTGATTGTCCTTGTTGTTCTGTAGTGTAGTGCAATTATGTACATGTAGTTCTAAACTAGCACTAGTAGTGGGTGTCGTAAATGGGAATGACTGTACATGTAGCAGTTACTGTTTACAGTATGTACAGCTACAGCCTACAGGTGTTGTGCCTTGTGGCGAGCTCAAAGCCGATCAGTTAAAACTGCACTCATGTGGAAATTCCAAATTTTAAAAGTGTTCTTATTAAATCTGGTAATTCTAGCGTTGACTGTTCTTAAATTTTGCCGGTTTTCCAGCCTGGGTGTTGCAAACCTGATGAGGGCTATATGCCGAAACGTTGTTTTAACTACGAAAATGTGTTCGAACGTTGCAGTGTAAATAGAAGGGAGCGAGTCCGCTCCATCTGTAATTCTGTATGAAACTGCAGGAGGCCTCACCGCTTCTAATCTCGAGGTGTTCTTCGGCGCCCGATCTTACTGTACTCTTACTCTTGCTACTTTCTCCCCCGTTTTCCGATCTTCAATCGACTATAACTCTAGATTGCCTTGGAATTTTGGGTTCAAATTTTCACAGGTTGTTTCTCACATCTTCCCGGTTTAGAAACACTAGCGTTTAATGCGAAACTCGCGAATTTGGTTTTTCAATTTGTTAGGGTAGAAATGCATACATTATTATGACATGTACATGACTTGATTGCGAGTACTAGTAGTAGTAGTAGTAGTACATGCACGGGACTTAACATTTGGCGCCCAACAGCGGTTCTGAACGACACGACGACCTGAGATTGCCGTATTCAATCGTAGCCAGTATTTTCTTGCACAAGTGTTTCTCCTCATAATCCTATTCGTCAAGATGAAGTTCGTCCCAGTCTTCTTCGTCACTCTAGTGGTATGTCTGGCTGTCAACAATGCTGTGCCATGCCAAGCACGAAGGCAAGAAGATTCTCAAGATGATATGAAGGCTTATGCTGAGTACGTGGACAATCCCCTACCTCATAGTCATAGCGCTATGTCTGACCAATCGCACGCAGTGTCTGTCAACGTTGATTCTCCTTCCTGAACCTACTACGAGAAAGTCTTCAACCACATCTACGTAAATACCGTATCTAGTAAGTCGTTTCACTGTGCCAACCATATCATACAAACTACGCTATCCCTCGCTAGTTTATTCGCTGTCTTTCCGTTATCATAGGCATAGTTGTTCCAGTCCTTTTTTTCACACTCTCAAGTCGCATCATTCAACCCATCCCACTCCCAGCCCCATCATTCTATCAAGTGTCTATCTTACATACAGATGCATACAGTGCACAGTACTGTAACTACATGATTGTAGTTCTGGATCACTCAACATGTTACAATGGCCACACTCAAGCACAACAGCTTTCTCAAGTTTCTGACAACACAGCTTCCTAGCATCTTCATTACCCATACAGACCATGTCAACCACATACAGACCATGCAATCAGTTTGCTGGATCAGCAGTCACCATGTACCAGTCCCTGCCCTTGAACAGACGCAAAATACTGTATACCCTGCACGCACGCACTCAACTCACAAATCCATGTAACATGATATACCGCCACATGATGAGCGAGTATACTTTCCCAGTTTTACCGTCCCCAAGAGTGACGCGATTTTACACATCCCTTTTTCACCGTCCAAGTTGAGACGTGAACATAACATATTTTACCGCTCCACAGAGAGACAGGTCCTTCACACATTTACATGTTTACACACAGGGTCCCTACTTTATTCTCAGTCTACCAAGCCATACTGTCCTGCCACACATGATAATCCATGATTACAATTTACATTACACGAATCCATCATTACATACACCCGTGCCACACTCCACAGCTACAATACAATCATACATGTATGGCCAGTTCCTTACAACGATCCAGCTCTTCTACACACACTCATCATTCCTTATTACATCCACTCCCTCTGAAGTCTCCCACCCCGCCCACGCTACTCTTTCTTTTTCTTTCTTCGGGTGATTTGATATCTTGCCACTAGTAGTAGTACCGCCTTGCGTTTTCTTTCTCTTTACTGCTATGTATGTACATGTCCCTCTTACTTTTTCTTCGCATGTGGACATGCACCCGCAAAGGGGAGAGCTATGTTAGGGTAGAAAGAAATGCATACATTATTATGACATGTACATGACTTGATTGCGACTACTAGTACTGTAGTACATGCACGTAAACGTAAGCCTCGTCATAAGCTATAATTAGATCTCCCATGCTTGTAACCTTGTTGTCAGTACTTCTAGAACTAGTACTTCTACCACTTCCTTTTAGTTAGTCAATCACGTCGTTGATTCCGGACTGTTCCATACCTTACAGTAATATGCCTGATGAGTAATGTTGCTGACTCAATTGCATAATATAGATATATCACCTTCTAGAATACCTCGCTTAGTCATTATGTTAATGTTACGCAATGCTCATTTCATCTACATGTATAGTAATGATGATCTAGGTTTGCCTTCTCCACTATTCTAGAACTTGTAGAAGGATGATTTCGTAATCCTTGTCTTACCACCAACCTTAGTTCTCTACCTTCGCTATAAAAGCTGCTGCCTTTCTAGTTTCCTACGGCCTAGTGTAGTATCCCGGACTGTCAGTGATCACACAGCCAAGTCTCTACCAGTAGTTACAGGAACATTCTAGCTAAGTGCTTCTCACGCGCAACCACTTAGGACTAGATAGCCCTGCTTGCAAGACCGGTACGGCCGCATGACCTATTGCGTTCATGCTGTACTAATACATTACATTGATTCCTGTGTAGTCTGTTCCCCATCACTGACCCTCTTGATCCCTTGCGAGATTCTAGGCATCCAACAGCTTTCTTCCCCGAATCCATGTTATTGTTCAGCCCTAGCTCACACACATTCAAATGGCTTTTCCTTAGATCTTTCAACAGTTGTCTTCCTAGTAATCTTTTGCCCTCACTCCCAGCTGCTCTGTCCCTCTGGCCTATATAACCCGCTGATTCTTCTCAGTTCTGTGTGGAATTATGAAGTGAAGAGTCTAAGCCCAAGAGCTTGTTTTCCTCCCGCTAGTGCTGTCAGCCTGTATCACTTTCTGTTGTAAGCCCAAAGTGCCTCAGACACGAGCAGGCTGGCAGACACTACACTAGTAGGGGATTAGTTTCTTGCCGATTAAGATCAGTTCCTACCTCTTAGATTCATGCTAGAGAACTCTTTCTCTCTCTCTCTCTCGGAATAAGTGTGCAATTCTGTATGATAACCATTATCCATTACTGTACCCTCGTGCTCTGCTGACTGAGCGAAACCGGGACTTAACAAATTGAAGTCAGAACTTACAGTCCATTCATAAAAAGATGGGTCCTGGCTCTGGCGAGCTCCCGTATTTGGCGATTTTTCGTGATTTCATCGTACACAGTGCAGTGCTGCGAACTTTGAAATTTGAAAAAGGGTCCAAAAAGGGTGCCTGAACTGGGGTTCGAACCGCAGAATGCACTGTTGCAGGCGGGGTCAAACGGCCTGGATTTTGATGGTTTTTCCCAATTCAGTGCTTTTGGGGCAAAACCTGGCCGAAATCCTATTCTCGCTATGGCTTGCTTTTTGGACAAAAAAACTTCAGAAACATAATTGGAAGAGGATTCCATATGG